GGATCATTATGACATTTGGATGTGTCTAAAGATGGGGTACAGTACACCGATTTGATGGTAATTGGTTAGCGGGAAAATCATGAATCAACCACTGAATTGACTGTTTTGTTTTGGGGGGGGTTCTCAATGTTGAGGTAGTCCCATATGACAGGATGTTGAAGAGAAGTCCAAGGGTATCATTCCTCAAATCACACCATCATTTTGTTGGTGCAATCCCAAATATATCCTTGATTCTCCTCCCTTCTCGGGTCTCAGTTGTTAAATCCGATGTTTATTTGATGAGGAGTGGTTTCCTGCAAATGTTGAAACTTGAAACTACTTCCACCACTGATTGGTGCGGGAAGTATTATTGTTTGTATCATTGATTCTGTGATCTCCATGTTTAGTGTTTATCCGCATTAAGATCATTAGGTCCCCTGACCATGAATGGTTTTGCTTGGCCAAAATCCAAAAGCTTGCAATGAGTTCCTTGGCCAAATCCCATAATTTGGTTTCGACAGATCCAGAACTATTTTGATTGGATTATTATACATACGAACTTATGAAAAAACTGATGAATTAGATCATGCAGCTGCTCATGCATGTCAAATCCCTTATGTTTGGGTCGCTTCCTCCAATGCTTGCCGAAATCTGCACAGCTGCACGTTGCTGTGAGGCTCGCCGGAGACGCGGGGAAACCATAGAGGACCTGGGCATAAGGATGCTGTTTACAGAGAGAACATCTACAAGAAATACATCGAAATACATCGAAATATCTAGATTTTGGGGTAAGCGCCATGGTTTCGGGTAGGTTTTGCCGGAAATCAATCTATTGAGGCATGGAATAGTAGAATGGTATTGGATCAAAAGTTATTTGATCTGCAAGGTGTGGTGTGAAAGTAAAGATGACACATTTTGTGGCGCCATTTGTACCCCATTGTGGACAATTGTCCTGCAAGTACTTTAAGCATCGGTTCCCTGAACCACGCTTCCGATTCTTGGTGAGGTGGTTCACCAGCCAGCAACTTGATCCCTGATTGTTGTTGTCCTGGCACATCATGGATTATCAACCCATAGAGATTATATGTTATGTTATGTTATATTATATTATATTATACTATATTATATTATGTAATTAGCCCCATCTTATTCTGATTCCTCTTGCAGATCTATGCGGGATCCTAACCTTTTGCGGAGGATGCTTTGGATGCTTGGCACATTGCCCAATCCATGGGCGAGGCAGAGAAATGCTTATCTTCAGCCAGTGCATCAGTTTCCTGGCATGGCTATTTTGGATAGCAATGAGGTTTCCTATGGTTTCCTGGCTCCCCAAAGGGAGCTGGTGTGTGCTGGGAAATTCACGGTGCACGGTCACCTTTGAAAAGGGAAGGACCAACCGCCCAGGTTGGGAAGCTGGCTCTGTGCGGTGTCCCTTTGATGGATGAGGACGTCCCTGGGTTTCTTCAATCAAATGGGGAATTTATCGCTAACATATGGCAATTGTCATGATTACTCAATGCGGATCAGTTTATAACGCCTTGATGGCATGAACAAGTGGTCATAGCTGGACTTTAGTAGTTTCATGGTGATGCTGCTTATATGATTATAGTATATTATAGTTCAATATGTGAACCCTGTCAACTGCTTTGGATACATTGGTTTGCCCTCCTCACCGGCGGCGGAAAGCGAAGCTTCTTTTTCGGGGCCGGTCCTGAGCCCAAGTCGTGGCCGCTGCTTTTGAAAGAGTTGCGACTCACACCTCACGGAACTACAGCACCTTCATGGAAGTTGGCTACAAAACAATGCTTAAGCAACTTTTAATTAACATACCATGAAATCGGGGATCAATGACACTCAAAATTGGATGGGTATAAATCCTAATATGTTTCTTCAGCTCTGTTGGGTTGAACAAACATGCAAGTATTTTTCATTTGGCCTGTTTTTAGTTTTTCTGGTTGTCTCATTTCTGTCCACTTGGGGAAAAAGTTGAACTACCCACCCAGCAGTTCCTGCTGCGAGCCTTTTGAATTGCTATGCGGCGTTCATTCCTCAAAGCTCTGCGGGTGCCGCTAAGTACTGCCGCTGTGGCAGCGGTGGATCAAAGGAGGTTGCGCACCCACTGCCACACACTTTGGGACCTGTGGGTAGGGGTCAACATTAATTATAAACCCTCCAACCAGATAGATTTCCCCATCATCATCCATCGGTCCATCATCTTTGACCCATATCCGCCATATCATTGGAGTGGCAGATTTGGGGTGACTTTTCTGATAATTTCTCACCTACCTGAAACGAAATGGACGGTCGGAAAGTGACTATCGGATTCAAAATACTTGTTTTTAGATGCAGCCTTAGCAGATATCAAGCCAGCCATACAGCTTGAGTTCTGTCACCATGCGACGACCGATGTGGATGGATACGTGTGATGACAATCCCCCGATTGATGGTCTCTATATGGGTTTGTGACGTATGTTTTTCATTCTTATCATCGGTTCCAATATGTTCCAATCTACCACCATTTTGCATCGCACCTATGCCTGGGAACTTGGTAATCTTGGTATATAAACAAATGAGTATAGCAAGAGGCAAGAGCACAGATGTCCTTCCCTGTTTGTTATTTTCGCAGAGGTTTCTCATTGAACAATAAAGAGATGAAAGTCATACCTTATTGTACATTTGAGGACATTTGAACAACAACCATACCATTCCTGAACATATCTTATTACCATATTATTACCATGTTTACACATCATTGAACAACCAACGTTATTATACAACAAGAGGAACGATATACCCAAACCGGTCCCATCAGCGGACAATCCCAAGGTCCTGACCAGATTTTTGCAGTGCACATTTGTCTGACACATTCGCCTATGTAATACTATATAATATATATATATACACAGTATTATATATATTATGCAACCGGTTTCCTACAACAGGTTCCTACAAATAAAATGATGCGATGGGTTGAAGGACGCATTTTGTACAGGAAACCCACTGCTTTGTGCAGCCTTTGTGCAGCCTTTGTGCATCAACTGTGTGTTTTTCCTATCTAAAAAACACAAAATTCACATGAAAACAACAACCCCATGAATAAATGGCTACGGTTTAAAGTGACCAGCCCTTTGTGGGATTTTGTGGGCCAGTGGTACCCTTCAATTTTGCTATGCCATCCCCATATCATCCCATGATATTACAACTATTCTTGGTTCAGTTCCAATAACTATATTATTATGTTTCCTTACATATATTGTTAGTATATATATATAGTTACCATATTGGATCCACTGCTATCCCAGCTGCTACTCCAATCATGATTGGATCCATGGTATCATCATGATGGCTATCCCATGTGATTTCGATCAGGTGAGCAGCAGTCAAAACCCCGGTTGGTTGATGATTGTATGGGATTATACTATCCCATATATATATATATACCTAGGGAATCAAAAACCTTCAATTTTTAGGGTTTCAAAAAAAAAACTGTTTTTTTTCAAAAAAAACAGGTTTTAGCATAATCAACCATAACCCAATATTGTGAATTAAGTATGCAGGTGTTTGATTCCCAAGGAATGTACATGCATGATCATACATGTGTGTTCACATACACATGGCCACATTAACAGCGTGCACATGGGCCTGCCCAAACCACAGACACATCAACTCAGCGCCTTTTCTTCATCTCAAAAGGCCTTCTTTGGTGAATGCAGTGTGTGCTGCAATTAAATATCGTTGCAACGAACGATGGATGACTTGCCTGATGTTTACTCTTCGACTTATTCTGCTGGCTTTTCCAATGGCGTCTTCATCTATTTGGCAGCAAAAGACAATCGGATTGAGGGACATCTTGTAGAGTCGGGCCTGCTGCAAAATGGTTAGCATCTGCTCATGGAACCCATGTAGCTTACCATACAAAGGAAAAACCCATGGACGATTGTCTCCGAAAAGATCTCGGGCCATCAGTGAGTACGTCTGTAGGAAACGAACGCCTCTGGTTGCAACATAAAAGCATTGCTCCTCAGTCAAGAAAACTTCGGCTCGAAACAAGCAAGACCACAGCTCGTTCATCCATACAGTTGCACGCTGGCATTTGGGCAACCGTTGGCATGCATCTGGTGGTAATTTGCCAATCAAGTCATCCAACCACAACAAACAATTTGTTGTAAGGGCGCCTTTGCTCCAATTCCCCATGCAACCAGTTCTGTCATTGTGTGACATGAGGTATGGTGTGATGCTACTGATGTGGCATTGTCTGTGAGATTGTTTGCAAAATCTTTTGTAGTCATTGGTAAGCCATTGCCATTTAGACTCCAGATTTGGAGCTGGAACAACTTCTAGCACCAGCTGTATCACTGAAGCCACCCAAGACCGTCCAAATCCAAGGTGCACAATGTGCCAAATGTCTCCCTGAAAAAAAGTTGACGGGTCTGACACATCGTGAGCCAAATGTTTGATCACTGCAGGTGTTTTCATCCATGGTATTTTCACACCTTGAGTTTCCAACCACTTTGGAGAAACGGTGTCGATCTGCTCTGCCGGGTAGCCATAGGTTCCTGCTAAACACCTGTGACAAATTCCCTTGGGTGCAGTACGTTCATCACCCCTTTTCACCAGCGTGTTGAATGATCTATACAGACGGCCCACCTTTGCAAGATATGGTGCATCCCCTTTGACAGCTATGATCGCAATCCTGAAAAGCTCATGTGTTGTTGGATCACGATAGCCATCAAGTAGTAAACTCTTCAAAGAAATGGCAACGTTCTCCATTGCATTGTGAAAAGATTCAGGTGCACTTTCGTAGACAGTCTTTGGCATCATGGAAATGATGAATCGATGTGTGAAGGAATGACCCAAGTAGTTGACCTTCAATGGTCGTGGGCCGCCACCCCCCCTTCCCATTCTCTTACGATCAAACCCATACCCAAGCGCTGATTGCAAAGCCGTCACCATGATTGCTTGTCTTTTGAGGGTTCGTCCTTCGTCCCCATGTATGAGAAAAGCAGCTGTCCGAGATAGGTCTATCCCGTCCATGTCAAACAACTGGAAATGCGGTTGAACCACTCGATACCGTTCCCAAAACTCTGCCCAGAGAGCTCGAGCTGTTGAATGCTCATCACGGCCAACCCCAGCAAGTCGGGTCCAAAGGCCTTTTCTCACAAGCCATGCAAGCCAATCACGTGGATCAATCCAGTCGATTGTGGTGTCATGCTGAAGAGTCATCTGGCTCAACGGCACATCTAGTGTAGTACCTTGTTTCTTTATGACCTGGTGAGTATCACGTTCTGAATTTTCAAGCTTGCATTTAGCCCATTTGTTTATACCAGTTTTCGCAGCCTCCGCCTGACCAATGTCCTGAACCACAGCCTGGGCTGTGAGAATCTGGCTTCTGCAAGTGGCCTCAGACCGGCAGGGCAAGGCATCACCCAATGTTTGTTAAATGTCAATCTCGTGAGTGTCTCGGGCTGGGGTCTTCGAAAAGATATGTTGGTTGTCTTCATTTATCTGAATTGCTCAGAATAGGCCAACTCCCAAAACACAAATGGCACAGCAATGATTTTTGCCAAGCTCAACTGCAGGCGTCAAAGCACTGTACAATGAAGAATTCAGCAAACTACTGCACACACGGAAGGAGCTAAAATCCCCACACCAGCATGTGAACATGCAATATTGAAAACTACCTAGACACCTGATCAATCATCATACCTTTGGAGTTCAGGAGGGTACTTGTATGACTTGTAAACGATATACGTCAAAAACGGCCCCTCGCCGTCAAAATCACTGCCAGCTCGATCGCCGCCAGTCAGCACATTCTTGCATCCTCGGATACCTTAGAGGAGGCTTGCAACACCAAAAGGCACATAAGATAGTGTAGCGGACTCTCCCCCAGTGCCCACTGCAGGTGACCACACACACTGTCACACACACACACATGCGCGAGACAAACATGCACATCACAAAGTACTGCATACTTGCACCACATATTTATATAATATGGTCCATATACTTCCATCTAAACAAGACATGCTACCAGGTTGCTCTTAAAGCGGTCGATGAGGGCTGCTTCTAGCATAGCAGGAGAATAAGGATTTGACGCTGCATATACTACATGGAGTCTGTCAAAACGATCCTTGGAGTGCTGGTACCCGTACATTGGACAATACCATCGATGGTGGGCATCATGTGTTATCCCCAGCTTAAACGTCATCGGTGAATACTTCTCCAGGAAACGATTGATGGTTGTAATGGAGTGTTCCAACACCCTTCCAGCGGTACATCCTGGTTTTGGTAACCTGTAGGACATACAGGGGTCCATGGAAATTTTTCCAAAGACATCCCGTGATCGACTCAGAAGTTTCAACTCATCATGAAGTAGAAACTCATCACGTGGTGTGACGTGGTATCCACCAACTGCATGCTTCACCTCCAAAATCATGTGGCCATCTTTCGTGGGGTGCACTGGGTGTCCATGGTCAACCTTCCGGTTCTGATGCACATCGGCTGACGGCCGCTCCCATGCATATGGCCCAAGAGAAGCCTCAGCTATAGGGAAACAATTTTGGAATTCTAAACTTTCGAGTCCCGCATGATGAACACATTGGGAAACTGTTTGAAATCCAAGTAGCTGGTCGGTGACAGGTGAGAAGGTCTAACAATTCATCCTCTGAAGTTTCATCAAGATCAGAACGCATGGCTTTGTACCAACCTGTGCAACCCAAGCAGGAAACCATGCATTTTTGTGTATATGTATATATCGTGTTAATATACTGTAGTTTTAATATAATGTTAATACAGTGCAAAATCAGACTCCAAGTGCTAATATAGTGTTGTTTCCTTCAATTTGTCATCATGTGGGGGCCTAGAACTCAGAGCCAAAAAAACAGGTTTCGATGCACGGGCGATATGGTGGTAGCTGCATGAAGCCTCCATTGACAAAATGCCACAGTAGGCTCATGAGAGTGAAATCCAACATCCTTCAACAAAGAAATCAGGAAGACGTTGTCAAGTGACCCATGACCTTGCCCCTTCGTCCATTGCTGGGGTCATGACTCCTTCGCCCACACTTGCTGCAAAGCGTTTGGATGATGCGCCAGCGACACCTGGCTTCCGGAGACGGGTGGTGTGGTGGAGCGTGGATAAATTGAAGCAATGGTATTGTCAAACATCAGGACTTTTTTTTCCCCCAGAAACCTTCCGCGTAGAGTTTCAAATCTGCTAGTGCAGTAGAGCCACATCAAAGCATCCCCCAACATCAATCAACATATTGGTTGGGTATGTTACCTTTATGTAAGTTTTAAGACAATTTCAAGACATGAAGAAATGGAATACTTTCTCCGTGGGTCGGATGAACCGCTTAGTCCATGACACTATTGTTGAACCACAGGGCAGGGATGCTGGTAGGCACAGCCAAGCGCAAAGAATTATCCATTCTAAGGAAATTAACTGTGGAGATTCCAGACAGTCAAAAATAAAATTCATGAATCGCCAATTGCAGCGGCGACTATGATACAATATTTTGGCACCCAAGCCATGAGATTTACATATGCTCCCTCAGTGGCTTTCATCTTTGATGACAACCTTCTTGAAGTGGCGCTTGGCATTCCTGGGGATACAGCTTGGACATGCTTGGAAATATGTATGGAATTGGTCTTATTTCAAACAAAACAGTAGAGAACCAACTCTCTCAAAATGAGCCACACCGAATGAAAACACCGACAGATGTCAGGACTTGTGATACTGCCTTTTGGGGTGCTCTGCAATCAGTGTATGCAAGCCAGTGACCGAATCTTGGCTTCATGCTGGGCAATTTTGGTGCACCTGAAGACCGTGTGGGAAAGTGGCTTAAAAAGGTTCCACAAAAATATTGCGCAACCAGTAAGTTGGTTTGCTAGTGGGCCACGTGAAAGTCGATGCTTTCATCTTTGCCTCTGCTTCCTTTGCCCACCTCAGAGGGCATGGATGAATAGGAGTTGGGTCAAAACTTTCAATCCCAAAAGGTACTCAAACCATATCAAATCATCGGATATAAACCCAAAGCCATAAGATTGCCAAACCACTCAGGGTTGAAATCATCCTGCTCTCCTTTGGCCATGTGTTCACTCAAAGTGTTGTACTCGTTGTCCAAAGTCGCCAAATCCTGATCCAAGGCTTCAATGGACCTTGGCCGCTGAGGAGGAGCTACTTGGTAGGGACTGGGAACCGGACGGGAGATAATAGAAGCTTACAGAAAGGGTAGAAAAATATAAGTTGACTTTTGATTGGATAAATAAAGCTCCCAAAGAAAAGACAATTGTTGGAGAGAAACTTCTTTGCATGCTCATCTTCACAGTAGTTCTTGCGTAGGTCACCAATCAATCCTCTGATCTTGGCACTTTTCTGCAGCACGGAATCGATATACTTTCGGAAGGTGTCTTTGGACCTGTTGGCCTTCCCAAGAATGGAAGTCACAAGGTGTACTGTAGAATGATTTGGTAACCCAAGTTATTTCAAACCCAGTCCATTTATTTGTGATGCCATGAGATCAGAACCAAATCCAGCCGATAGGGGAAACACATGTAGTGAAAAGATCAAATGCGAGACTTTCTGGGCGGTTTGATGACATTGACCTAGTATCAAGATTTTGTACATCTTTGGTAGCTTATGAAAGCCGCACACACCACCCTAAGTAATTACACATGGCCTGAGACGTGGCCACAACAGTCCCAGCAGTTGTAGCTCTCAGTCGGGTCTCAACTTGGTCAGCATCACTGGCACTCACATCCGGAAGTGATGCCGTGCAATCCATCTCCTGCATGGAAGGACTGAATTGATGGGACATACCTACTTCATTTGGACTTTGCTGCTGGTTATGAACAACTCAAAAGTTTCTTGGTGAAGCATGGAAAGGAACTGGCTCCTGGGCATTTTCCCTGGTGACCTCCGAACTGATCTTTTCATGCTGGCGATTCCCTGTCTCACGCACCCGCACGTAGTACTCATCATCTCCGCCATAGGCACAGCGCCTTCCAGGAAAATAGGAAGACAGGGGTTCCTAGTTTCTGGATAGGGTTGATGATCAGAATTTGCGTGTAATTAGGCATGGTTGATTGCCAAATGGAGCACCCCCTACCTCACCAGGTTTGCCTGATCTTGCTCACAACATTTGATGGCACCATCGATCTTCTTCCTCATGCTACTGGTGTTGGAACAAATCATCAAGTTTTTCCGTGCAACATGGTACACACACACATTCCACGCTAGTCTAAGCATGCCCCAAAAAAGAACACAGCTGTATAGATTATATAGTCAAGGCAATTTGGCAAACGCATTGACATGCTCAATGGTGGTTCAACGTATTTGGATAAGACTCGTGTTCCATTTTAAGACCTTCAGCATATCGTCCCTGGAATACCACCCCATTTCCAAATCGCTGACAGTCTTGTCATTCTTTGTGAGGGACTTCTCCTTGAACTTGATGAACGCCTCCTGGATTCGACTGGCTCTGGATTTGTTCGGATTGCTGATATGGGTTGCTCGGCCAACATGGAGGGTAAACTGGCAAAATATGCAATGAATAAATTGCATTGATTGTTGGTTAGCAATCCTTGTCGAAGTTGCACTGTGCAAGCTGTTTGGCCATGGCCATGTGATCTCCATTCTTCCACTGGTCATGGAGCCACTGTGGAACTTGCAACTGCCCATTTTTTTTGGGCTCGCACAAACGCCTCAACTTTGCCTTCAGGGCGTTTTCCTCCTTAGTGGGCCCCGGTGTTGACATCTATTGAGGCAATATGTCCTGATCCAAGTTGTAAGTGTTAATTTGTTATCGTGTTGACTGTTCTTCCACTTTTTGTTTTGTGAAGGAAACAAAGTTATGAATCAACACAATCAAGTTTCGTTTTTTGCCTTCTTGGCTTGTTCAAGAACATCTTCCAACGACTCCTCTGGTTCGGATGGGGTCACCTGGGAAATTGGCCTTTTCTTGGAATCATTTCCAGTGTCACCAGTAGGGGCTCCAGCTTCCAGATTGGATGTAGCCGAACTAGAACCAGTGGTCAATTGAAGCCCCAAAAGCTGCATGGCCATGTCACCATCAAGCTGGCCACCCCGCCACATAGCCATGATGCGATTCGTGACCTGAATAGGAGAGGTGAACTATTGTGCTTTGATCTGATGTGTTGAGAAGCAGTAAGCCATATACCATATGACAGAAAATGTTCTTGCACCATATACACCTTTACGTGTTGAATTTTAATCAAAGAGCTGCATCATCTTTGGCCATTTGAGATGCAGAAGAAGGGAGTGACGATGTTGGGGATGAAGGCGAAACTCGAGTCTTGCCCTTCACAGAACCATCATCTGACCCACCCAACCCCAGTTTCAGAAGTTCCTCCTCTGAAGCTGGCTGGGTTTCAGCCTCCGCCACACTCTTGTTGACCAGTTCCCGCTGGGGAGTAGCCTCAGGGTAGCTCAGGCCAGCAAATACCCTTCAACATTCTGCCAGACGCCCCAAATAGACAATACATTATGAGCAGTCACAATGCCTAGGAAAATAGGGACATAGGATAATCCAGTGGTTTTTCCGCATCAACACCAAACAGAGCTTGTATATAATAGGCTATAAAGATTCAGCCTGGAAACAACATTGGCCACTGACACCAAATCCTCCAAGGCTTTGTCCTCATTTGCAATCGCTTCTTGGACACACAGTGGGTTGGGTCGGGACCGATGTCCGTGTCCGGGCATGAGAATATATCTAAGTATCTACTTTGTTCCAATATTCACTTTAAGATAGCATATATGTTGAATATCGATTAGTCATTCTATCCTGACAAGTGCCGGTTTGCAATAAATCACAGCTCACAACGGGGTCGAGTTCAACTGCATCCCAATAAGTTCCTAACCTTAGCCTCCTGAAGATGGGCAGTCTCTAGCATGGCTTCCAGCTCCTGGACAGACATGGATTATTTGGAGGGAAAGACGATTTTGGGTTGACCACAGTTATATACCAAAATCTTTCTTTTCATGTAGGTGTGATGCTCAGATGGTTTATGAGGTTTTAATTTACATTCAAAACAACCATATATTGAAAATGAAGCAAAACAATGTTCTCCTCTAACTGTGCCAAGTCATCGGGGAGTTCGTTCTTCCCATCAGTCAGGATATGCTCCAAACCCTTCACCAAGTCAGTGGTTGACCAAGCCCGGGATAACATACTCTTAGCACTATCCCGGCGTTCAAGTGACATCAGGAAACCTTTCAAGGTAGAGACTGTTTGTCTCGTTGGAGCCCAAAATGCTAAGCAACATGCTGATGCTCATGGGAAAACAAGTCTACAGTTTGTGTGAGACACGCGATCATCGCACTACAGTCAATGAAATCATCTCTGAAGAAGGTGAAACCTTTTTTTCCCCCAATGCGATATATGTGTTGATGGGAAAACACATCGCTTGAGACACGTTCCTGGATGAATTTCTCTGAGATGCAAAAATTCTCGAATTATTGCCTGTAATTGCTTTTGAGCCTAGCCAAGCGACGAACTATATCATCATTTTAGCTAAATATATCGATATAGTCTGAACAATTTCCCAACAAACTTGAAAAATGTTAACATAAAGTCTTTAAAAATCCATTCCAATTACGGTCAAAAAAACCAGGTTTTTCTCAAAATACCCATAATATTTTATGGGTAAATTATGGGTATTTATGGGTAAATTACGGAATTTTACGCGCTCCAAATTATGGGTACAAATTATGGGTTGGTTTCCACAATAACCAGGTTTTTTTGAGTGATTACGGGTAAATTACGGGCAATTACGGGTAATTACGCGATTACGCAAATTACGGGTTGTTTTGGTTCAAAATGAACATAAATCAAGATAATTTGTCTTAGTGCTACATATTCCCAGAAGATAGTCATATGGAGCCTAAAGCTTTCCAGGCAAATGGTCACGGAAATCCTGGGGAATGTTCAAATTCATTCCGCCCCGTAACCAGTGACACACTGAAACCATGTGGGCGTCTGACCATAGGTCTTCAAAAGACATACTGCTATAGGAAACATGAGCTGGTGGAACTTCTTTGGGCAAGGCTGGCATACCGTACTTCTCAGAACTCAGGCGGTGCCACAAGTCCACCAGCCGAAGTCCAAAACGTGGCGGATAGTTCCTGGGCCAGAGCAGCGATGTCGTGTGAAACACATGGGGCCCCTTATTGTTCATGGAAACAATCTCCAAGTTATCATGTTTACTTCTAGCTAGGTCAAACATTGCAAATATCCTGATTGATGAATTCAACATCAAAAATAAAAGGGTTAAAATGTAGCTCAAGTAGTCATTTCCAATCATTGGGTATGATTCGAAAACATTTGAAAACCATGAAAAAATAAACTTCCATAACCTACGTTTCATTGATTCAAGAACCGATATCTTTAAAGATGCTACTGACCAGTGATTGCACAAATAAGCCGCTGACTCGCTGGAACGCAGCAATTTACTGCCTTTCCAGCGCTTCTTGCCCCCTTTGTCGATGTATTTGATGACTAGGGACTTTGCCTTACCACTAGCCTTGAGTTTCTCAAGTTGCTGTTTCCAGTTCCTGAGCTTATCCACCCACAACCCAGCAACGTGGGGAGAATTCGCAAGGCAATAGTGGCGCTTCGGTGTGGCACCTCCATAGTGTAGCATATACCATGTCACTTTATGAACCTGGGTTCGCATAGCACGGCGGATTTAGTACGGGGGCATGATCCAACATAGGAAAAATAAACACAACCTACAGTCTCAAAGCTCTTTTGTTTTTTATTGTATTGTCCAAGGACAATGGATTCAAGTCAGTGTGGCTGCAAAAAAAGCAACTTATCTCAAGGTTGGGTTGGGGGACTGGTGAGCACCCCATTATGAACCCTATGAAACTGAAATCGGATCAAGTAGCTGAGTGTATGCCACCATGTTCTTGAAGCAACAACATCAAATCTCTCCAACGTGGGAAGAACTCGAAGAAGCTTCCATTGGGCTGTTCCACCATTATGCATCCATTTAAGCATACTGCAAGCATCATCAACAATATCATCCTCGGATGGCATTACAACAAAATACAATAAAATGATCTATATACATCTTTTGGAACCCCATATGATTGGTTTGTAAATATACAGTTGATGTACTTCCTAAATGGACTCAAGATAGTATCCAACACTATATCTTTTGTTCATTCAAGGGTCCGTGCAGCTAGGAGGTTGGCTTGCCTGACACTGGGAAAGTCAGTGTTTCCTAGAGCGGTACAGGGGCTTCTGGACGAAGTGCCAGAATTGACCACCGTAAATGAACTGCACTTGAGCCCCCACCAGGATACAAATCCATTGATGGAATCACCACGTAACACTGTAGAAATTGCTGTCCTTAGCTGAGCCAATGTGTTCCCATTGAGCTTGCCCTAAGTATTTGGAAAAACACAATCCCCATAGAGCTCAAATCACCGATAAATATCCCTGATGAAGTATAAATTCGAAAGTATTTTTTTGCTACCAAAGGTCGCCATTCCTGCATCAGTTGTCAGATCCATTGGGTTTTGGCGGCCCTTTTCCGCTGACATGTACATTATGTCCAATTTAGCAGTCTTGAAGCCCCCATAGTCAAACATTCTGGTGGCCTCTGCCTGACCGGCGAAGAACTCCATCCATTGGATAGATCCATTGTCCTGCATGACAGAGACATAAAAGGGCAACCACATAGTTTCAAATCAACTAAAAAGTTTTGAACCCTTTCATCGTGTTGAAACCGATTTCGCAGACCCAAGCCAATCCTCCACACTGGGATCCAACGGCACGCTCGTCCATATAGTCAACAAAGTAGCAAGGACCAGTACCTAAGATCAATGACACGATTATTGACAGCTACAAGATTTGTTCATTGATCAGAACCTTCAAGAAACTGATATACCCTATCCAAAGCAGCCACATGCACATATAAAAATACAGATAGGCTACCTTCGGTGCTCCAAATGTCTTAAGCCGACAGCAGAGCTCATCCACAAAACGTTTCGAAAATTTCATGGCAGGGACCGGAGCAGAGCTGGAGGATAGAAAACATTGACACCATACAGGATATCACAGGGTCATACAAGGTTAGCCACATACTTTCTGTTTGTGTAATGCATACATCCCTTTCTTCCAGGTCCAGTCTGTTCATGTTTCCCAAATGGCTGCGCAGCTGCCTGGAGGTAAACACTGTCAGAGCTGGAGAGCAAACATCACACACTCTTGTGTCTAGGCTGCGTTCGTTAGTATTGCCATTGTTTTCATAGATTCGGGACGTGAGGAATTGTATGATTTTGGATTGATTTCTTCTTTTATCACCCACAAGTGGTCACCAAGAAAGCAAACAGTCCATCCTGTTGATGCCAACCGTCAAGTCAGAACTCAGTTTCTTGGAACCAATCGGAAAGGATCTCATGTTCTTGAAATAGGTTGGGTTGTACGCCCCAAGATAAATATGCTGAAATCTTGGACCCTCCCTCTCTCTCACACTCTTTCAGTTTTTTGATGCACATGTAGAAACATGCCGAGCTGACTGCAATCATCCTCCACAAGACCCCGCTTGGCTGCCCATTTGTTGCCTGCTAGCCGAGGCATGTTCGTCGGGCCTCGGCGATTGGGCAAGAAGCAGTTTATCGGGTCCACTGGTTGCATTGGGATGGGATCGGTGGTAAACGGATGGGAATGAAAAATATTTGATGAAACAGGTATTTGTTTTCAGAAACCTTTGGCGAAAGACTCTGCTGGGATTGATGGTGCGAGAACCGAGAACGTAAACTTTTTCCTTCAGCGCCGATCATCCTGTGAGGTTTACCCCACAGCCCTAGTGCACTCAATCAGCCACCCAGGGTCCCGTGGCACCCACCATCACAGGTAATGGGTATGAGCCACAACATACAGGCACGTGGTTGGGTCACCACATGAACAAAAATGAAACCAAAAAAATTGTTTGGATCACAAAAACCAAGAAACCAAAAGAGACAAAGTGATCAAATTGAAGATTCACAATGCAATGATGTGCCAGTTCCAAACCCTAGCCTGTATACCCCAATCGGTCCCCAGCTAAGGCATCTTGACCGCTGAACTGCGTTCATCCCTTCGTGGGTGTTGGAGCTTCTGCCGCATTGATTCGATACAAAACGGGTTGGATCGCTTTGAAGGAAAAATGAATATAGATGATGGCAAAATAACTAAAGAATACGGGTTCTTGAACCAAATAATCACATACTTAGCAACATTAGGCCATGGAGTCATTAACTTTGTCCACCCAAAATCGTCATGGCAGTTCGCTCCCATGTGAAAAGTCTAACCTACTTCTTTGGCAAAAAGTATTGCATCACTTGGTTGGCATTGAACTTGATGTAAGACACCTGCCGCTGGAACTCAGAAGATGGTTCCTTGTAATCAGCTGTGAGCTTGTTCGGGTTGTCCTCGATCCAACCAGCCTCAGGTGAGATGGGAATAGATTGATAAGTTTCTAGTGAAGAAAAGCTTCTGGTAGTGGAATTAATGAATCAATTGGAAACCACCCTGTATGACCCAATCCCTTTGGAATATAGTGAGTCAAACCCTGAGAGAGTATATATAAAATTGGTTTGTTGTTGGCGCTAAAAAGAATAAACAACTTGGTCCATCCATCAAATGGCAAGAAACCATCAACCACGCTGCCACATAGGCCAAAGCTAAATTCACATTCTTTGACTCACCCTTGCTGAAACCAAAGTATTCAAGGTGGGTGGAAGGTTTCCCCGTGTTGTCATCCCTCAAGACTACGGCCACTGCCTGTCGGGACCAGTAAGCTGAGAGGTAAGTCATGGGGTACATCGGACAGTCTTTCTCCTTCAGCATTTCCTTGCATTCTTCCCACTCCAACCCCACCACATTTTTGATCTTCTGAACGAAGATCCCCTGCATCATGTGATCCTTCATGTCCTGTGCCTGTTCTGCCATAGCCTGGGCGTCTTGCTTCTTGCGACGTTTGATTTCTTTCTTGATTGCCGGGGATGCCATTACTCGCTTGCTGGGGCTGGGGGTATCCTGTGCCTTGCTCTTTGCCTTGCTCTTTGCCTTGCTCTTTGGGTTGCTCTTTGGGTTGCTCTTTGCCTTCCCTTTGGCCTCAGCTTTCACTTTGGCTGCAGCCTTCTGCTCAGGTACCTTGCTCCCTGCCTTGGCCTTAGCCTTTGCTCTGGACTTTGCCTTCGGGGTTGGTGGGCCAGGTTTGGTAGAGTCGTCACTGCTCCTTTGTCCCTTTGACCTTTTCCAAGCTGCTGGCACGTAGTTGTCAAAGATCTCCTGAAGTGTTCTTTCCTCACCTGTCGTTGGGTCGATAAACTTGGTGATCGGGGTGGGCATCCCATCATTGCCATCATCGGATTCATCGTCGGACTGGAACAGGGTCTTCTTGGGGGTTTTCACATTGTTGATTTCAGCATCTGAAGCTTCCTGTGTTTCCTCCATTGGAAAGTCATCAGAAACCTTAACCTTTTGTTCAGCCTCTTGTTGATCATCACCTTCCTCATCCATCCCTGGCTCATGTTTTTTCTTGCCCTTGCTCACCTTTGCTTTGGTCTCTGCCTTATCCTTGGCCTTCGCCTTTCCATTTGCCTTGCCTTCCCCCTTTGCCTTCTTTGCGTTGGCACGAACCTTTTTTTTTTGTGCTGGCTCTGGTTCCTCCCCATCCTCCTCCTTGGTGTCATCACATGCATCCTCTGGGTTTTCATTCTTCTGCTTCTCTTCCTTGAACTTGAGCTGGTCACGTCGCGTGAGCACCTGTAAGGGGCAAGGTAGCAAACCGAAACCACCAAATAATTTTACTTTCTACAACCAATGCCAATGAGGAACAAACCTTGGTATTTTTTTCAGCCAAAGACGGCACAACAGTGGATAGGTTATGCAGCGTGTTCCACTTTGATATATTTTTGTTTTTGGGTCAAACCAAGCCTTGCTTTCCTTTCCAACATCAGGTTCATCCTTTGGCAACCAGGTTTCATTGGGCATGGCATCGGAAAAGATATCATCCAAGTCAGGTCGGGGTTGGGTATCTGGGACCTCAAGAGAATCTGCAGCAGCCTTTGCAGCCTGAATTGCTTCCCCAGGGTTCTCCAGCGGTAAGGTCTCGTCCACATCACTTGCCACTTTGGTAGCGCCACTGCCTGACAGGCAGCAGAAGAAAACATATGTTTCTAAATGTCACATACCGTATATATTGTCCTGAGCAAAACTATATTCAAAAAGTCCATGGAAAGTGCTAAGGAAGTAAGACTTTATTTTGAACAGCCTCCTGAAAACTAAAAGGTCGTTGTTTCAGAGTGCCATGTGCCAAAGAAACATCCCACTCTATGGTCTCCTGTCCGTGTTAGACCTTGCCTCAGAAACTAAGTGAAGAAATCAGACCAGTGGAAACTATACATGACCATACCAAGTTTTTGAGGGAACAAACATATGGTGCGATTATTACACAAATATCCAGAACCCCTGTTCGAGTCAATCCCCTGGGGCCTGATGATCCGATCGAACTTGAAGCACCCGATAAAGGCTTACTCCTCAAGTGTCGAGCTTTTTGTATGGAACAAACATGAACAAACACACTGGAAAACAAATGGTGGGGAATCAAAGTGTTGAACCTGAATGAGAAAGCCAGTATTATCAATTATTTCAAGGCACTGCGTGAGGTATGCAAACTATAAACCTATTATAATTCATGTATGGTGACCTGGGATATTATACTGATTATGTTTTGAACTTGGTTCCTTTTTTAAAATTCCACTTGATAACGTACTGACACGATAATGCACTGCGACTGATATCTAAGGATGTGGCTCATTCGCCAGCCGCTGCTGCTCAAGAAGCGCCTTCTTCTTGGCAATCATCGCCTTCACCTCCTTCAGTCTCTCGCAGATACCTTGGGACAAGGGCTGATGTGGCAGTGGGGATTGGTACCTAAGTTCTTGGGAATTTAATTTAAGATGCTTTAAACTTTAGAGTAACCATGTATGTAACACTGAATTCTCCTTATTGTAAGATCGACATAAACATAGACTTGAATTCCATTGAAAGTCACATGGGTTCTTGAAGCACTTGCATCCAGCAACCATTGGCGGGGCGGGTGGTGGCATAGAAACATCCGATGATCCACCTTTCACACCACTGCCCGATGGCATAGAAACATCCGATGATCTACCTTTGGTTGAACCACTGCCCGATGAACTAGGAACAGGAGATGGCCTGGCAGGGCTCCCCTGAACCAACCAACGCTTAAACTCCACAAAATCTTCCTGGGACTGGCGATCTTCATCCTCAAAGTTTTCATCAATCTCATCACCACCCGGCGAGCCAGTGCTCTTGGATGACTTGGCGGTCTCCATGTAGTTGTCGATGTAGTCCTGTACGTTTGTGGGCAATGAGATCTTTCCATTGTCTCCCAAAAACAATGACAAAGGAAAGGAGAGACCTAAGCAACCTGTATGCACGTATATGTTCAAGGATGTTCAAAGTATCAAAGAATTCGTCAGACCGGATGGTTTGGAACCCCTCCCAATCCTTGATCGATGGGTCCAGCAGTAGGAGAAGCTGATGAAATCGGACATCCTGACAGGGCACCCAAGTCAATAGGAACAGATCCATGCATATTTCTTAAAGCAATGCATGTCCCCTTGATGTGGATCTGGGCTCACATGTGTAAAATGTGTAAATTTTGAAAGATGTACACGCAAATTACAAATATTGTAGACAATATCCCTTAAGATATGTCTTAATTCTAAACTAAACCATACTATTATGTAAATGTTCATGGCAAGCACCATGGTTCACCAACCCTTGGCCCGATTCCTTCGTGACTTCCTTGCGGCGCACACGTCTTTTGATGAAAGATAGCAACTTCTTCAGTTCCACTGCCGGGGCGTAAACCCCTTTGTCACCGATTCTGACTCCTAGTTTCTCAGACAACAAAGCCAATTCGATTTGAAGGGGATCCAAGTGCGGCAAATGCCATGCAGGGGTTCGGGACAACTTGTGAAGCAAAGGGCGAAGCATGTGTTCATTCTGAACACAATTGGAGCGAGTGGGCTCACAAACTTTGGCACCTTCTGGGTAGACCAGAAGCTTTTGGTTCTTCCTAACCAGGGAACGCACATCAGGGTTTTGTTCCCAAGACAGCGCCATACCTGTGCAGTCCATGTTGCACCAAGTTGCACTGCTGAAACACTGCAAAAAGAATTGGGCCAAAACGGCTATGGGTTTTACAAAATAAAAGCTGTCGTGACGAAGGGTCCCGCAGATAGATCACAATATCATAGTTCCTGTCCTAATCCCATACAACCATATCAAAAATTGAATATCCAACCCGATGTAAAGAAAACCCACAGGTCATGCCTTTCCTGTGGGGCCTGGTTTGTGCATCCAAGGCTGCAAGCAGCCAACCAAAGACTTGTCACCGCCTGCCCAGCAGTAAAAAAAATTGGGGATCCCAGCTGCGCAGGGCGATGCCCACATAGGGAAGGGCGATGTTGTCGCCACATGGAGGCCATGGAAGGCAAGGGGACAGGCCAAAGCAGGTGATAGATCAAAATTTCATTGACGATTGAATTCAGAGATATGGTCCATTACAAATTCAGGTATGGGTAGTGGGACCCCTCCTTGATTGTTCCAGTAAGTAACTTAGGGTCATCATAAAGTAAGCCCAACAAATTCCTGAGGTTCCTATCTTGGGGTCATATCAAATAATATTTACTTATGATTTTGATTTCCATTGATCAAGTGCTTTCTTTCATCCGATGGGGCGCAGATGCTAGCAGAATCAACTTCATAAAGAACCACAAAGCCTCAGTGGAACCATACATGATGTTGTTGAAATATGCTAAATGAATCATAAATCATCATAAATCATCATAAAACCAGTATATGGGAAATAACCAGGTTTTTTAAAAATAACCAGGTTTTTTTGGAATTACGCAGGAAAACCCGGTAATTTGTTTTCAACCCACAAAATTTTGGGTTTTGGATTCAGTAGGTATATATATATAGTTATATATATATATATATATCATATCTCCAGCCGTTGCTGGGTCCACAGGTTCCATTGCCGTTCGGAGACCAAAGGCGCCGCTGTGGACCGCGAGCTGCACAACTACTGGGACCAACACAGCGGCAGCGGCTTTGATGAGAAGAGCAGAATGAACGGGCGCCTGGAGCCTTTGAGGCAGCGGCTCGGGCTAGTCATGTTGGCAATCTTAGTGGAGAAAACTGATGAAATACATAGATCATTCATATGATCATCCATATGATCATCCATTTTTGGTGATAATTCGATATTAAGTTGTTGATTGGAGATGTTTCGAAATCGCTTGAAACCTGAAGTTTTTTTAGATGAAAGCTGCTTGATGGAGGGAAAGGGTGGAATTGATGGGTAGTTGGACATAATGGTTTAAAGTGGTAAATGCCATATATATATATATATATAATCATACGTACATACGTACCTACGTACCTACGTACATACTTACGTACCTATACATACCTACCTACCTACATACCTACGTACCTTTATACCTACACACGTACATACACGTACATACACGTACATACACGTACATACACGTACATACACGTACATACACGTACATACACGTACATACACGTACATACACGTACATACACACGTACATACACGTACATACATACACATACATACACATACATACACATACATACACATACATACACATACATACACGTACATACGTACATACATACACATACATACACATACATACACATACATACACATACATACACATACATACACATACATACACATACATACACATACATACACATACATACACATACATACACATACATACACATACATACACATACATACACATACAAACACATACATAGACATACATACACATACGTACATATACATACATATACATACATATACATACATATAGGTACATATAGGTACATACGTGCATACATACATGCACATACACAAACACATACACATAGATATACATAGACTTATGCATATACATATACATACACATGCACATATACATACATACATGCATGCATGCATGCATGCATGCATACATACATACATACACACACATATACATACATACATACATAGATAGATACATACATACATAGATACATACGCTCATTCATACATAGATAAACCGATACATAGATACATAGACACATAGACACATAGATAGATAGATAGATAGATAGATAGATAGCTGGATAGATACATAGATACATAGATACATAGATACATACATACATACATTCTTACATACAAACATTCATTCATACATACATACATAGATACATAGATACATACACTCATTCATAGATAGATACATAGATACATAGATACATAGATAGATAGATAGATAGATAGATACATACATACATACATACACAGATACATAGATACATATATATATATGTATACATATACATATACATACATACATACATACATACATAGATACATACATACATGCATACATACATGCATTCATACATATGTATATATATATATATGTAGTTTTTTTTGAAGGTTCATGAAGAAGAACACTTATAAATTCCATGGCTTTGGTGAATCAAATCAGGTTGGGGGCTGGCCCCAGATCCGACAGATTGGAAAATCATCTTACCCCAAGGTCTAAAACTTAGCTGATGATCATGATAGATCAGAAAAAAAAATAAAACAATATCTTTTCGGAGAATTCAATCTACTTACCAATGACTCCACCAGATACGGTCAAGCTGGGCTGATTCAAAAAAATGTTTGTCCAGAATCATAGTGTTGATTAGTGTATATGTCCCATTATATGCCCATCATATTCCCATTATGGTTGGTTTTAACATGTTTTATACCCCAAATCACCATCTCTATGATTCCAAAGATTGGCTTAACCCCCCAGGCGAGTGGCTGAAGTTGCCAAAGATCTGGCTGAAGGAAAACTGAGAAACCACCCTGTGCGAGTGGTGGATCTAGGTGCCTTGGGTTCTGTTCTGAAGGGTGTACCATAATGGTAGCATATGAGTTTCTATGGCAATTTCATAATCGGGGAGATATGGGAAGATGATGCCATTTTTGAAAACTCACATGGCAAACGGCTGGATTTGTCTTGGGGGTATCCTATAGCTATAGTGTATCCTATTTTTAGATAAACAACATTAAACGACTATATCTTCATTTGTGGTTGGTGTGCAACTCATGAGACAAACCCAATAATAAGGGAAATTCACAATGCGATCATGACGGATAATGCGGGATAATTACAACACACCATATAGGGATAATTTGGGATGATGCAAGATTATTTACACATGGTCGATCAAACCGGGGACGATTTGTTGGATGGGTGGCTTAACCACCAACGCGTCACCTGTTCCCTATCCATTGTATTTGCACGCTTCACAAACCCTGCTTGATTAATCGGGGGGGTGTCCTCCAAAAATTGTGGAAATTGCTACTCAAACGGTGCTGCCCCAATTCAACAGCTGAGGGGTTTATGAATCTCGGCTTTCAGTAGAACTAAATGTTTGTAAGGTTGAGTATGCCAACATGGCCGAACTTTTTAGCTTGGTGAATGCCACCTTTCAACTCTCAGTGATCTTGTAAAATCAGCCGTGTTGTAAATCATGATGTGTTGTTGATACCGCAATCATTCAAAATTCGTGAATCTTCCTGAGGTTGCGGGACCGGGCTCTTTTCCAAATTCCTTAGCGACGCAGAGAACATTAAAATCATCGGAGTGGACTTGTCTGAGGGACATTTGCAGCTGGCGCGACAACACATGGAAGTACCTGGGACCGCAGGGTGAAAGATTGGACTCCCTTGAAGCCTCGGTAAATCTAGGAACTGAGGCCCTAGGCCACTGACACTCGGTTGTAACGCGAATAACTCAAATAGTTCTGAAACCACTTTCTGACAACGGGCTATGCCATTTATAACATTTTATAACCCATTGTACAGTAATATATATTATATACTAATTAGTGACTCTTCGACTCTTGTATATTGCACAATATATGATATATATATATACATGTGTGGTATGCAGAAACAGAGCTTGTTGCGCAGTTCAACACGCACATCACTCACCTAAAATAGGGATGGTTTCAATCCCACCCCGTTGGTAAGAGCCTTGGTTGTGGTTTTAAATTTGCATTTGCAACATTACTAGTATACCATTTATATACTAGTGTGTTTCTCAAATCCCATTTTCTGCTTGACTCAATCTCCCCAATTTTCTGGAGTTGGTTTTATGTTCCACTGCATCCCATGGAACATCCCATGGAACGGTTGAGATGTGAAAGAAGGTGTGCCTTTCGGTTTAGCGTTCAATGTAGCCCAGAGGGGCCAAAATGGCATACATGTACGTATGCACATATCATCACACACACATATACGTATATATATATATATATATGCACCAGGCCAGAGACGGAGGACGGGACCATATATACACAAACTTTTTTCACCATCATATAATGCAACCTATATATATATATACATACACGTACTATTGAACTATTGAATATACAATAGTATTTTTTGATCCCGTACGTAGTAGTAATATGTAGTATTTTTTAAACAAGTTATACGATACAAATCTATAATATATGATAAACGAATGTGATAATATCAAACAATAAAAAGAACAATACATCCCATAAAAACATTGAACACAATTATACTCAATTTATTTATACTATACGATAGTAAAATGATATTGTCCAATCGTATACAACATGTAATAAAACCACATATATATATAGTGTTGCATGACATTATGTATTATTCCATAGTAGAGTATTATAGTATAGTATAGTATAGTATATAGTATATAGTATATAGTATATAGTATATAGTATATAGTATATAGTATATAGTATATAGTATAGTATATAGTATAGTATATAGTATATAGTATATAGTATATAGTATATAGTATATAGTATATAGTATAGTATATTATAGTATATAGTATATAGTATAGTATATAGTATAGTATATAGTATAGTATATAGTATAGTATATAGTATAGTATATAGTATAGTATATAGTATAGTATATAGTATAGTATATAGTATAGTATATAGTATAGTATAGTATAGTATAGTATAGTATTGTATAGTATATGATTTACTACAATATGATATTATTGCAAATCACATGGTAAAACATAAAATAAAATGTCATTTCATATTTAATTTGATATGATATGTTATAGTACACACAATGACACATAATCAAAGGACGTCTAGTTAGAAAACTTCCGAGTTACGGACGATGATCATGGTTAGCATTCACACCATCATGTCAACCACATCATCATGTCAACCCCATCATGTCAACCACCCATCATCAAGGAGTGAAATGTACCCTCTGGTAAACTAACATAACTATGGAAAATCACAATTTTCAATGGGAAAATCCACTATTTCTATGGTCATTATCAATAGCTATGTTAGTCATTACCAGAGGGTAAATCCCATTAATATCCCATTGAATCACTATAAAATCCCATTAAATCACTATAAATCCTCATAGGGTTCGCCATTTTGCTTTGTAAGAACCAGGTGATCAAGGGCAGCTACTTAGACTGGCGCCCTGAGGGCTGGGCTCCGGACCTGGCCATCCATAACAATTCCATCGAGGATTACGAGGATTGGGGTCAGGTGATTTTCAAGGTGAATTGAACATAATTTTACCATCAAAAATGGGAATTTCACCATCAAAAAAGGGATTTAACCATCAAAAATTGGAATTTAACATTGTTTTTCTCTAGAAATTTGGGTTGGGCATGGTAAACCCAATTTAACCATGAAAAAAATGGGATAATTCATGGAGAATTCACGGGATTTCAGCGGCAAAACTGAGATTTCAACATCATGGAACCATGAAAACTGGGGATTTCCCCCATAAATCCAACATTTGGGGAAGGATTTTTTTTTAAATGTTTTTCTCCAATGTATGTGATATATGTGATGTGAATATAATTTGACATCGATTTACATAGTTTGATTCAGATCTTTAGCCTTTGTGGTCCCAATTTGGGTGAGTTGTGGCGGACACCAGCAAACTGAGAAGAAACACTGACAGAAAATAAATAAATAATAAGCATTGGACAGGTAGATAAACACAATGACAATGACCATCCAAACAGTGAAGACCATGAACAAGTGGGAAAAACAAAACTACCCACAAAAGTGGGTAATTATTTTTTTCAAAGATGTGGGGGTATTGAGATTTTTCAGCAACAAATGAGCGGAAAATTATAGAGCCAATGGCCTGGATGGCCAAGGTATTTGGATTTTCAGCAACAGAAAACAGGCTGGTGCCAAGTTTCGGCCCCTTATGACTACAATTTTTGACCTCATGAACCACTGCAGTTGGATGGCGGGGTCGACAGCTGTGCGAGGACTCGATGAAGCTCTATTTCTTCAAGCACGTCTTTAGCTGGCTGGCACCAGAAGGGTCAATGTGCTGCATTAGCCCACTTAGCCATCAGAATCTGCCTGCCAAGGATCGAATAAAACCCCGATGCGTTACACTTGTTGAGAAACTTAGGGGGTTCAGATTCTGCGATGCATTGCTACCAGGCTGCTACCAGTTCAACTGTTTATGCCCGCATCGAAGTGCTGCAGTGAATTACGCAGGTGTTTGTTTCAAGACTTTGTATCTTGAATCTTAAATGTATTTCATTTCGCAAAAAGGTCAGAAGATAATGTGTTGACCCGAATTACCATGTCCTGCAATCAGTCAATCCTGGTCTCAATATTGGTCCCAGATATGGGGGTTATGGGATTCACACAGGCAGAACCGCTTTCATCTTGAATTGACATGAATTGTCATGAATTGATGTGGACATGAGTCATGAGTGAATGTAGATACAGAAACTAACATCTCATCACGTGCGTATATTTATGCAATACATCTCGTGATATATATATATATATATTATACATACATTTCATTATATACAGTATATATCTATATATACTTATACACATGTACGTAACGTACGTATAAAATTAGATATTATTGCAAATCTCTAGACACAATGGAGTTATCGTATTCATGCAACTTAATCATCGTTAAACATCGCATCTGCCAGGTACTTTCTCTTCCAAGCCTATTCGCCAAGAGACAAACCCATGGGAGTTTGCATCGCCGAATGTTCACCAGCCTTTGCTGCCAAGCACAAAGTCCACTTGTGCAGCACCGAAACCTATCTGGACATGGCCAAAGCTGCCGGTTTTCAGGTGGTTTCATCGGAACTGGTTCACAGTCAAGGTCGATTTCCCGGCAAAGATAGGACCTACAACCGGGAATTCATTTTCATTGTACTGAAGAAGGCCTGAAAAAAGTGGCTTAGCTGGAGCTACCCATTTGGTCTCAAAAAAAAAACGGGCCGGGGTCTGTTGGTCGACAGCTTCCATCATCGCTGTTCCTCCAGGAGGTCGCACGGCTGGCAATTCTCCTGGCGGACAACATCTACGCACCCCTGCTGCAACTGGGTGGTGTCGCCCCCTATTTTGCATAGGCGAAACAATGGTGAATATGATAGTGAATGGTTTTAATAAGGTATGTTTATTGAGGAACATATCATGTCCCACTTTTAATGGGTTCTTTCCCATGGGTCTTGGAAGCTGACTAGGGGAACGACATATCCCTATATTGGCTTACGTGCCCGATATATAAGCATTCTCCAAGGTTCTTGGCCCCAAAAGAATGCATCTATTTTTACTCTTTCGAGTTCTGAGGTTTTTCTCTCAGCGCACCTGACTTATACCATCTTATACCGGTGAATCTTGAAGTGTTTTTCAAGATCCCAGTAGAGGGGCCAGCTGCGTGGTGCTGCGTCAACTTGGATCATCCTGGTGGGTCCTGAGTCGTTGGACGAAGTGGGGCAACTGGTAAGTTCTTCACCATCTGATCCGTCTTCGCCCAAACATATGCAATCCATCCATCAATCCATCAATCCATCAATATAATATATATATATATACATATATATATATACATATATATATATACATATATATATACATATATATATATACATATTATATATATTTACATATATATATATATTATATATATACGGGGTATATATTGATACTCTATGATACTGTAACATGTGAATATAATTTTGATAGTCAATACCTGAAAATATCTGGCCAAGTGCTACGAGGTTGTCCCACCAGAAACCACCTTCCTGGCCTGTGGAACCAGGTATCCCGACTCTCGTTGAACGAATGTGGGAAGCTCGGTGCGTAGCCGCCGCGGCACCTGACATTTCACCGGGGAAGTAAACCAATCAATGGGATGTAAATGGAATATCAATGGGATATGATCGTGGTTTGATAAAAATTTCGGGGGATTACGTGTTGATTTGACCACCAGTCAGAAAAACAGTCTGACGGAAGAGTCATGGATAGACGTCCAGTGGCTTCAATCAAGAAACAGATCCATTTCATGAAGCAAATGGACAACAAGTAGAGCTTGGGTTCCAAGCAGCGCGGCTCACCTGGCTCACCTCACCATTTCGTAGGGTTTTTCACACTTTCCTGGGGCCCAATTTGGCATCAATACTCAAGCCACGATCTCTGAAAGGCAACTTGGGCGACCAGGGGGCAGAATACTTAGCAGAGGCACAGCAGCTGTTTTCGGATCTGTGGAGGAATGTGGGTATGGATCAATACCTATTAATACCATTTTTAGTGGGATGAACATCCATTTACCAACTATTTTGATGTTCACCAGGGGTACAAGGTTTTGACACACTGCCATGTGAGTATTTCGGATAAAACCAGAAACCCTTTTGAAATCAGACATCAGAAGCATTTAGGAGCCTTTTTTTGGCTCATGTTCGTAGTTTTAAGATGTTTTAAGCACCTTTGAGACGCAGCTCCAAAGTTGTTCTGATCGTTCCGACCTCCTTAAAATCATTGTGACAGCCACAACTTGTGAAGGCCTAGATTCTGAATTTATAGGCTCCTGTGAATCGTTTGAAGTTTGCGAACTAGAAAACCTCAGTGATCTGGAAATTCTTAGCCTGTAACGGATCGCTCCAACCTCTTTGGTGTGTAAATTATAGCCACAGGGGGGGTGGAAATGGGTGAGTTTACGGAAATAGATTTTCTCAATTTCCATTCATTTACCCCTAGATACCCCTATAGTAAGTGGAAGTTTACCGCGCAATTTCTATCAATTTCCTCATATTAATTGGACAGGCTCTGGCTGAGAACGAAGTCTTGACCTCCCTGTCTCTGGAAGGGAACCGAGTCGGGCCCCCCACAGGGAAAGGTGCTGACGGTCGTTTTTGTCTCAAAAATTAGGGGTATAAAACCAACATAAACCACCCTTACTGGCAAACAATCATTTGGATATCTGAGTAATGTAGCATTAATGATATATGATATGATATGGGTTTATCTTGATATGTCTGGCCCTCCAGAAATATCAAAATACAAGAAATTCAATGGGAAATATGAATGAACGGAACATGATGCTTAAAGCCATGGGGTACCCAATTCTGAGACAACCCCGACAATGACGCTTAACTTCCCAGGTGGGTGACCGTGGGGCTGCCCGCCTTGCGGCGGCCTTGGAGAGGAACGAGGTGGCGGAGCTGGAGATGGGGATTGAACGTTGGGAAAAAGAAACATGGGGGGAGTAAAGTTGGAGAATGCGGGAGAATGTGGGATATACTTTACATGTATATATATATACTGTATATAATATGCATATATCAAATCATGGTCTATTTAAGTATGTCTTATTGTAAAGTCATAGATTCAGAATGATTCATAGATTGCCACTTGCATACTGGGATCTTTTGATAGAGACTATAAATCACCCATCGCTACCAACAAAAAGGAGCATCGAATAATGAGAAGGAACTGAGGAACAATGCGGATCTCGCCATACATGATTGTAAGATATTATAAGACATAGTGGGTTAAGGTTACTGTCTGTGGATATTGGATATGGAGAGAAGGACAGCAACTATTGTTTTCGCTGTTCCCAAAAGCATTTGTTGATGTTCATCGATTCAATCGATTTCCATTTTGAAGACCTTCAGATTGAACCATTTGGCCCAAACCAAAACTGTCGATGTTTTTCCCTTTTCGAGCAATCCATTTTTCATCAACAGAAACATGGAATCAACAGAAACCTAGGGATTTGCTGATGGTTTATCGTCCCAGTGCCGATCCACCATTTGATGAAGCTGCTCGGATACCCTCTGGTAAACTAACATAGCTATTGAACATTGCCATAGAAATAGTTGATTTTCCCATTAAAAATGTTGATTTTCCATAGTTATGTAAACGTTTACCAGAGGGTAATTCTTTTTTGGGAAGGGCCCCCTTAAGCAAGTCCCGCCCGTCAATCCATGCAATGGCCGAGTGACATCCCGCCGGAGGCCTTAACCTCTCTGAGCCTTGGGAGGCGCATGGTGAAACCACTGCGATTTTCTTCTCCGGTGAAGTTGACTCAAAGGGTTATTCAAGATTGATATGGAAGATGGTCACCTTGTAGATGATTTACTTTATCAATATAATAATATATATATTATATATGTATAAACATCTGTGCTTTCCATAGCTATATTAGATTACCAGAACTTGTCAGTGTCATCTCCTGCAGGTTTTCTTGTCGAAGCCAATGGATTGTTGTTCATGGCCATCAAATCATTGGGGAACATGAGGTATTTGAAGCACCATGTGATTTGAGTGTTTTCTATTTTTTCCGAAGCAAAAAAACAACAAATATAAGTGGGACATATCCCTACACGACATTCCACTTGAGTTTGTCTGGTAATGGGTGATACATATGATCTTATGATATATATATATAATCCTATATCCCGTTTGGAAAATGTTGGAACCGCACCAACATTTGGGATTTTGGTGTCTTCCACAGAAACTTCCTGGATTCCCCCAGGAACTGCGTTGGAGGGCAAGGAGTGAAGCACCTGCTGGATGCACTGGAGAGCAACTATACCTTGCTGACGCTGGACCGCCCGGAGTGGTTATATATATATATACATTATTATATATATATATATATATTATTATATATATATTATATATATATATATATATCACAAATTACCCCAAAGGGAAAACTGCGACGAATCGCAGGTGCAGGCTGGACCGTTCTGGAGGTATACGCATAGAAAAAAAGATGACAAAAGTCAGCAAGTTCCATGGTGATCAACCCCATAAGTTGGGGATGTAACCCCAAAAAATATCAGCATCTATAAGTTATGGTGAAAAACCTATGGTTAAATGGTTATAATACCATGGGTATACCCCATGGGATCTATAAGTTATGGTTATATATCCACTAACTGGAATTTCCAAGTGGTCTACCTATTGCCTATCGCACCAAGCGTGCGCTGTTGGAAGGACCTGGCGAGCAACTCAGGGAATCGACCTGGATGGGCAAGTGCAGGTGCAGTTCTTTCGATTTCCTGATTTAAGTCTAATTATTCAGAGATGGGTTTGATGTTGGTGAGTTTGGTCGTTGTTTCCGGAGATTTTGGTGGTAATGGTTGTTTGAATCAGTTTAAACACTAAGTCTTATTCTTGGTCAATTGCAGTAGTATATATATGTTTGAAAGCAGTGACATGTTGGCATGGATCTCATACAGGTGCCGTTGGACTCAGGCAGCTCCGGCTCAGGGAGACAAAAGGTGTCAGCCGTGTGGAGTCGCCTAAAGGTCGACCCAGGTGGGTAGAGACGGTGACCCCATTTAAACTGGTAGCGGAGCCTACGGGCTCGCACCAGGGGGTTCACCTTGCCTCAGGAGAGGCTGAGGGTGGAAAGCAGTGACATGGCTGCCGAGAACAAGGAAGGCAGCAACAACAAACGCTTTTCGGGGAACGACCTCGATGGAAAGGCGTACCGACAATGGAAGCTATGGGCCAAGGCCAAGATGCTGTCCATGAAGGACATCAGCAAGAACCAGAAGGGTCCCTTCGTGTACTGCCTGCTGGATGGAGTGGCCTTGGAGGCCGTGGAGCACCTGCAGCTGGATGATCTGACGAAGGACGATGGGGATTCGCTGATATGGCAGGCCCTGGACGAGAGGTTTCCGGACAAGATGCAACATGACCATATGGCTGAGTGCCTCCGGGAGGTGTTTAGCTTGGCTCCCCGTGAGGGGGAGACGATGGCTGAGTGGACGTCGAAGGTGACCGAGACCTTCACCAAGTGCAAACGCAAGGTGTCCATAGAGTTCCCAGCAGAGGCTCAGGGCTGGATTTGCCTCAACCAGTCCGGCTTGACTGAGGATCAGAGGGCCATTGTCACGGCCAAGAACCAAGGAGATCTCAAACTCTCCACTGTGATCGCCTCCATGAGGTCTTGTTTTCCAGACTTCAAGGCAACGGGCAAGGGAGTCCGATCACGTGGAGCTACTGGAGCTATGATGGTCGATGGTGATGAGGAGTGGACTGAAGAGGATGTCCTTCCCAATTACACGGAGGCTCCAGGCTCTTTCAGTGATGCTGTGGTCTTCGAAGACGTTGAAGCCTTTCTGGGGGAACATGGCGTCCAGATGGAGGAGATACCCCCTGGTGAATGCTTCTCAGAGAAGGATACGGTAGAGATACTTGCAGCTTCTTGGAAAGAGAAGAGAGCTGAGATCGCCAGGCTCCAGAAGAGCCGCCGTTTCAGCCAGGCCAACTTGGTCCGGAAGAAATTCGTGAGCGAGGTTGGTGAAGTTCGAAAGCAAACCAAATGCTTCAAGTGTGGCAAAATGGGTCATTGGGTTCGCAACTGCCCTAATCGGGCGTCCATCAACTCCGAGGATAAGGGCACCGCAGCTGGTGCCGCCGTGGTGTGGGAGATCTGTGCCGCCGAGGAGTCCTTGTTGGTCTCGTCGCCGGGCTTCGGGATCATCGATTCTGGATGTGGGAAGACCTTGGTGGGTCAAGCTACTTTGGCCACCTTCATGCGCATGCTCAAAGACTTGGGCCAACCCTGTCCAACTCTCAAGCGGGAATCGACTCTGTTCCGTTTTGGGAATGGGCAGGAAGAAGTTTCTGACAAGGTTGCAGTTCTTCCGGTGGGCATCCATGGACGATCTGGCACAATCGAGGCAGCAGTGATCAAGGGTGATGCTCCTCTGCTGCTCAGCCGCAACACCATGCGCAGTCTGAAGGCCGTCATGGACTTTGCCGAGGAGACCCTCAGTATCCAAGGAGGTCCCCCTCAAAGCCTGGTGACCAACTCTGCAGGACAGTTTGTCATTGATGTCATGAACTTCTCGGAGAAGGGCGGTGATGTGATGGTCGCTCCTCCTCCGATGACGGAGTTCGCTGAGTGCAAGCGGGTGTCCCAGAAGGAGAACCGGTGTCTCATGGCAAATTCCGAGGCATGGGGGAAAAATCTCAAGGGCGACACAAAATGCATAGTGGCTGAACTGTTTTCACCTCCAAGATTTTCAGAACAGGCCGAAAAGTTGGGGAAAACTGGTTTAGCTTTTGACCTTCTGCAGGGTTGGGATCTGACTATTCCCAAAGTTCAGAGTAAAGTAGATGCCATGTTAGCCCATGCCCGTCCTGATTTGCTAGTTGCTTGCCCTCCCTGCAAACACTGGGGGGGATGGTATCACTTGAATCAGCAGCATTTGACCTTGCTGCAACGATGTGTCAATCAGCAGCTGGCCCAGAAACAGGCCGACTTCGTGGTGGATCAAGTGAAGAAGCAGCTGAACCGGGGGGGTCGGGTGATCATTGAGCATCCGTGGAGCTCAGTGCTGTGGAAGTATCCTCCCATGGCTAAGCTGTTGCGCAACCGGCTCCATCTCAGCCGTGTTGACTTATGTGCATACGGGCTGTCTGACCCAGATTCAGGACTCCCGATCCTGAAGCCAACCGGCATTGCGGTATCTCATGACGACATGCAAACTTTAGCCTTAACATGCCCCGGCCACCCTGTCCACAAGTCCGTGGAAGGTCGGTGTTTAGATGGTGAGAATTTGAGTACCAAGACTTCCCGGTATACTCCCCAGTTTTGTCGTAGGTGGTTGTCATGCGTCCTGCCGGAAGATCACTTGTGCCACTTTGCATGCCTGGAGGAGACCAAACCAGCACCTCCTCTTCCGGAGACGAGCGTGAGTGAGCCAGATTTTTCCGAACATGCTGAGAATGTGCCGTCGCTTTCCGAAGCTTTAGTTGCCATGCCAGAACCTATCCAGGATGATAAAGTGGTGACTGAGCTTAGGAAGCTTCACAACAACCTTGGACATCCAACCAATCGAGAGCTTGTCCGTGTGTTGAGAAATGCCGGGGGTTCTGATCAGGCCGTGAAGCTTGCGTCCGATTTCAAGTGCGACGTGTGTTTTCACAGGCAACGACCTGCACCATGCTTGCCGGCATCCATTCACCAAACTGTTGATTTTAATCACCGTGTCGGTTTGGACGTGAAGAAGTTGCCCGGTTGGAGTGAGGGTCAGTCTGTGACTTGTTTGAACATTGTCGACTATGCCTCGGGTTTCCAAGCCATGCTCCCTTTTTATGAGACTGAAACCGGTGAGGTCCTGAAGGATGTTTTCCAAAAGGGTTGGCAAGCGTGGGCGGGTTCGCCAGTTGAGGTCATGCTGGATCCAGCCCGTACCAACCTGTCTAGCGTCTTTGTGGATCCTCTGGAGCTCTGTGGGACCCGGGTAATCAGCACAGCTGCAGAAGCCCACAATCAACTGGGAAAAGTTGAGAAACATGGTCACCTCTTAGAAGTCATTTTTCAAAAGACTCTTGATCAAGTTCAGCCAATAGATCAACGTGAGTATGAACAATGCCTTCTCCATGCAACCAATTGCAAAAATGAGATGATCAATAGCAAGGGTTTGAGTCCTGTACAACATGTTTTTGGTCGCAACCCCAGAATAGCCCAGGATCTTCTGCAGGATGAACCGGATCCAGTAGCAGCAACCAGTCCTCTGTTTGATGCTCAGGCCGCCAGAACTCAGGCAATTCGCACAGCAGCCCGAGTAGCAGTCGCAGTTGCCCAGGACGATTCTGGTTTGAGGGCAGCAATGAATGCTCGGCCCCGTGTCGAACGAGACTTTGTGGCCGGCGATTTTGTCAGCTACTGGAGGACCCAAAAGTACATGAAAGGTGTCCGTTTGGTAGGTGGTCGTTGGTATGGTACTGGAATTGTCATGGGAAAGATTGGTCGCAACGTCCTGGTTTTTCACCGCCAAAACATGTTCAAGGTATCTCCAGAACACCTTCGTCATGCCTCCGAGTTAGAGCGAGCTGTAGCTCAATCCGATGGCCGTGAGCTTTTGGGCATCACGGATTTGGTGGCTGAGGGCAGAAATCTACTGGGAAGCCAATACGTTGACTTGTCTAATCAAGAGGGCCCTCCTGACCCAGCATCGGTTGCAGCCAGTTTTCAAAATGTGGTAGAAGGGCATGATGAGTGGCGCCAAGAAGGCAACCTTCTGATTCGAGTTCACAACAAGTTGCGGGTAGGCAAGTTTTTTCCCAGCTCAGGTGATCCCTTTCTTCATGGAGTTCAATTGGATGATTGGCGTTTAACAAAAATTCGGAACAGCAATTTCCAGCTGGAAGATCAACCATGGTCGTTGGAAGAATCCGATCGCACCACACCCTTGCGACCAGAGCCATGGCTAGGTGAAACTCATTTTCGCATTTCTCAAGATGTTGACATGCCAAGCCTCATGGATGAGTCGACTAGCCTTTTGCCTAATTCGGTCGAACCGGGTCCGCCCAATGCCAGCTCAGACGCCAGTCCGAGTGCCGCCTCAGCAGAGTCAAATCCAAATAACGGGGGTAATTCTGCTGGATGTGATAGTGGGGACAAGTCATCTAGCTCTAGCTACGGGCCCATCAGGCATAGGTCGGGGGGTTCGGAACGCAGGCAAGACTTGTTTCGACCTCCAGTCACCCGCATGGATGACTTTGCTGAAGTGTTGCATGAGATCACAGAGCATGGAAGCAAGCGCAGCCACAGTCCGGATGAGATCGAGAGGAAGTCAGCACGCACTTCTCCTCCGGAGGAGGCACTTGCCGTAGAAGCTCTACTGACAGAGCAGCATGCATCTGTTGAATCCCTGATAGCTAGCTTCCTGCAGAAGAAGCTCCAAAATGAGCTCCCTCACTCGAATAACCCTCCTGCTTTGCAAGAGAAGATTGATGATGCCAAAGTTGTAGAGTTCTTGCACACTTTGCAGAATGAAAAGAAAGCCATCAAAGTGATTCCTCCTCATCGTGCAAATCGCATCCGCAAGAACCAGGCACATAGAATCATGAGCAGCCGCTTTGTGATCACTGAAAAGAAGGAGGATGATTCGAGCTGAACCAAAGCCCGATGGTGTCTCAGAGGTCATCACGACCCAGACTTAGCTGCGAAGGTGATGTCTGGCAAATGTCACTCTCCAACTTTGTCTCAACTAGGTCGCAGTGTGATTCTTCAGCTGTTGGTGAGCAATTGTTGGAAGTTGAATCTGGGAGATATCAAAGGAGCGTTTTTAGAGGCTGACATTTCCAAGCAGACCAGCGAGAACCCAGTGTATGCAGAGCTCCCGCCGGGAGGAGTACCTGGAGTGGAACCCGGTAGTTTGGTGCAGGTCTTGGGAAATGTCTATGGTGCAAATGATGCTCCCCATAACTGGTATCGTGAGTTCGACTCAGTTGCTTTGCAAGTAGGTTTCTCTCGATCCAAGTTGGATAGCTGTTTGTACTTCTGCCATGGAACTGACGGTTCACTTGAGGGAGTGCTATAGGAGCTCATGTCGACGACACCATAACCGGGGGTTCCGGTCCTCGGTATGATGCTGCCATTGCACGTCTTCGGGCCAGATTTCCTTTCAGGAAGTGGCGTGAGGGACAGGGTGAGTTTCTTGGAACATACTATACTCAACATGCCAATGGAGAAATCACCTATAACCAAAGAGACTATGCACAACATATTCGACCAATCGCCATCCCCAAAGAGAGGATAAAGAAGCCGTGGCTCCCTGCAACTGATAAGGAGATTTCCGCTCTCCGAGCGGTGAATGGGGCACTGGGATGGATTGCCTCCCAGACACGTCCCGATCTGGCAGTTCAGACTTCAATGTCGCAGCAGTCTTTTCCAAATCCGACGGTGCAGCATTTGCTTGCCGCCAACCAAGCCGTTCGCAGGTGCCGCCAGCAGCAAGATTTGGAGATTCGAGTTCCATATATCCCACCAAAAGAACTTACTTTGTGTTTTTGGTCTGATGCCGCTTTCGCCAACAGTGATGATCATAAGACTCAGGCAGGTTGGTTGTTAGCCTTCACTTCACGACAGTTGAGTTCAGGGGCCGATGTTCCTGTTCACTGTGTTGGTTGGAAATCATATAAACTGCCGAGGGTGGTATCATCCACGCTGTCTGGTGAAGCCCAAGCTTTTGCTACAGCTTCTGGAATGGCTGAATGGTGTCTTTTGCTGCTTGCAGAGTGTTTGGATGGGCAATTCAGTTTGGAACAGTCCACCGAAGTTCTCAAACGTCGTCCTCCTGTGGGAATTACAGATTGTAGGTCTCTCTATGATCATTTGATTTCACTCGGTAGTGGGGGAACTTTGGATGATAAGCGGACTGCAATTGATGTTGCCATAATTCGTCAAAGCATCCAGCGTGCAGGCCTCGAACCCCGATGGTGCCCAACAGGACACATGGTGGCTGATGGTCTTACAAAAGACAAAGGTGAGCCATCTGACCTTTTGAGATCGGTGGTGAGGTCGGCTCGATACCAATTGGCCGACGAGGCTACAGTTCTGGAGCGTGCAAAAGCTGAGAGAGAACGTCGTCAGAGCTTTGGAGCAGTTGCCATGCATGAGAAGATACAACGTGAATGAGAACCAAAGATGTCAAATCATCAACTGTACAGCAGCCGACAAGTCCTGAGTTTTTGTTTTGTATAGTTTATGCCTGTATCAAGTGAGTACCCAGCCGCTTTCTGGCTAAGTTCAGAAGACCTCCGTCTTTTCCTCTTCCTGGAGTTTTATGGGTGAGTGTGGTGGCTTTGTGACGCTGGGGAAATTGTGCTCAATTGTTTTGCGTTTTTCACTCCTCAGTGTTTTTGCTCCAATTCGAGGATATCACGGGGCCGATACTTTCCCTTGTCACAAGGGTGTTTTTGTGGTTTTTGTGCGGCTATGAACCGCAAGTTGAGTGATGCCAAGCCGCTGACCCACGAGGAAGCCAAATTGCTTTGCAGCCTCCTGGATCGCATGTCTTCAGCGGGTCGTGAGACCGGCCCCGAGGATCTCGATCTGATGGAGAACTTGGTGGCCGCAGGTATGACCGATGCCAGCAAGCGTCGGCTGACTGCCGATTCGAGCTCAGTGGATGAGGATTTCGAACATCTTGAGATGCCAAAGTCGAAGTACGGTGGCAAGAAGAGCAGTCAGAGTGTGCCTGCACCCATCGTTCCTGATCTTTCCGAGGTGAAGTTCCCCCGGGCATTTCCAACTTGGAAGATTGGGGCTCTACGGTGTGTCGCCTGCCCAAGGTCAAGAGCTTGGGTTTGTGCTATTCAGAGCTGGTGGCTGATCCGAAGACTCACCAAGAGTATCTGGAATGGGTGTTGGGCCACGGAGCTTGCCGTGGTGGTCGTTTGGAGGATTTGTACCTCTACCTGAAAGCCATTAAATATGCAGAGCATCATGCCTTGCCGGAGGATCAGCTTTTTCCTGGCACCAAGGAGGTTCATGAGAAGAAGTCGTATTTGGGATGAAACATCCCTGGAGAGTCCCTTTTGTTTCATTTATAAGCGCCGGGAGAGGCGTTGGTCCTGCTTTCTTTACTTTGTAAAGGGTGTTTGAAAGCAGTGACATGTTGGCATGGATCTCATACAGGTGCCGTTGGACTCAGGCAGCTCCGGCTCAGGGAGACAAAAGGTGTCAGCCGTGTGGAGTCGCCTAAAGGTCGACCCAGGTGGGTAGAGACGGTGACCCCATAAATATGTATACTATGTGATACTAAATAGTACTCTTTGTAGAAACCATTCTATGCTTGGAGTCACTTGTAGTAGCGCAGCGTCCGTTTAGGAGGGACACTTTGCTTTGACTCACCCCAGTCATGTTCACCCCCTAAAGCAGAAAAACATATAAAGCCATTGCGAACCCTTCATTTACATAATTTGAAGATATTTGAAGGTCTTAAACTGTAGAGTGTCAACCCCTTCAGACCCCACAGAAGTTCCTCATTCTTCTCGCAATGCTGGGAATGAGACCTGTTTGCAGTGCAGGTGACAGCCGCGCGGCTACCCAAAAGAGGCTTCAGGCGCGAGTTTCCACCAGCAGAATTTGAGATTAGATATGATCTACAATGGAAATTCATCAAGCAAACATGGGGATCTAAATTGTTAGTTGGATCTGACCAACAGTTGGGTTTCAACACAAAAATTAACCAGCGGAATCTGGCGGCTTCAACCATGTCCCATGGAGGCGCTACTGAAGCGAAACCGTGGGCCCAGAAAGGCCAGGTCATGTTTGACTCAGAACAGGTTTGCTGTGAATGTCAATTTTAAGTGTCAATATCAATGGAGTTTGCAGTTGGACATGACTTGAAGATTCTACCCTCTGGTAAACATACAAAAAACTATGGAAAATCATCATTTTCAATGGGAAAATCCACTATTTCTATGGTCATTTTCAATAGCTATGTTAGTCATTACCAGAGGGTATATCCCATTAATATCCCATTGAATCACTATAAAATCCCATTAATATCCCATTAAAATCCCATTAAATCACTATAAAATCCCATTAAATTACTATAAAACATCTGAAAGCTGGCGACTTCGGACCTTGCAGAATTCCTAAGTCGACTCGGGGAGCCAGGTGGTCACGCTCCAGGCGCAGCTCGGTCACCGCGAGGCGACCGAGGCGACCGAGGCGATGTTTGGGAAGTTTTTTTTTCAGCAACAGTGGTGGTATCATGTGGTATCAATATATATATATATATATAATTTATATATACATAATATACAATATATATATAATATAGAACATCTGATCCAATTTTCGGAAACATAGATGGTGGGCCGGTTGTCAAATTTCGAATCCTATGAAACATATAATCTACCTATTGGTATGATGGGGATTGAATGGGAATATCATAGCATAAAGTAGGACAACCAATTTTAGATGATGATATGGATGTCTCCGAACGTGGGTTATAGAATTGCCAACTATGGCCATCAAACAATATGGAAAAGGATTGAATCAGGAATTGAATCAACCCTCAAACTTGGGGACCTTGTTGTCAGACAACCCCATATACTATGGGAAATCCTTGGCCCTCAGCTGGCCAACATGTCATACATTTGTTGAAAAAGTGTAGCCTTTTGAAACACACAGCCATGCTTAGCAGAGGATGAATCATCCCTAATGCTTTGCTTCATTTCATGATATTTCAGGTTTGGTTTCGTCCCTGATCTTGGGCTGGTTGGTTTCATTCCCTAGCTGCCTTAGCTGTACTGGGAGGAATGGTGTCCACTTATGGACGCACTTTCCGCGGCTAATGACTTCTGGTGAGTTCTCCGAGTTAGACAGGGGATCACCCCAGAAACCAGAAAACTTATTGACCAAGGTTATAACGCTCTCTGAAGCAACAGGAGGAAGTGAACATTGACCCCATAGATAACATAGATTTCCCTGATTTTTCAACTGCGAACTGAGGATTCCGGCCAGACAATGATTGGTACAAACTTGGTCCCGCGGAGATTGGACCATTTGAACCCCCAAAGCTTCAGTTTCCAGTGGGAAATAATTGGACTTAGACATCTTGGGCCCCATCATCTCAAGCTATCTAGAACGAAGCTGAACTTTGTGATGGAGTGGCTCAACCCCCAACCAGACAACTTCAACAGAGTGTTTCATCGAATTCCGATGGTTTTGGAATCTTTGGGGCAGGAAATCCTTTGACTTAGATAGTGAAGATTTTGTTGTGTTCCCATGTTTTCCTCATTAGTTTCCATTCATTGATTCATAAATTAGATGGCCAGAATTAGCACAGCCAGGCAGATGGTGATGGTGACGACCCCTGCAGGAGCAGACATCCCAAAATGCGGGAGGGATGTTGATAGGAGAAGACATCCCAGAAAATGGATGGGAAATGGATGGGAAATGGGTTGAAAAAGGATGGGAAATGAATGGAAATGGTAAATGACATGGAAGTTTACAACCTTTTTGAACGAGCTGACCAAGATGATGATCTTTTTGAATAGCTTGGGAACAAGGAAAAAAACATTCTGCCCCAGGTCACCTTGGATGTTCTTGGGTACTGAAAAGGTAGGTGCCTCGGTTGTACACGCGAAACCCGACTGGGCTGTACACGCGAGATAGCAACTCAGTTGTGCACGCGGATGCTGATGCTTATGATGGTGCTGACGGTGATGATAATGATGATGATGATGATGACGATGTTGCTGCTGCTGCTGCTGCCGCTGCTGATGATGATGATGATGGTGATGATGATGATGTGGATGAGGATGATGATGATGATGATATTGATATTGATGATGATGATGATGATTATGATGATATTGATGATGATGATGATGATGATGGCGGTGGCGATGACGATGATGATGATGACGACGACGACGGCGACGACGATGACCATGGTGATGATGATGATGATGATGACGATGGCCATGGTGGTGATGATGACGATGATGATGATGATGACGATGATGATGATGGTGATGATGGTGGTGGCGATGATGATGATGATGATGAGGATGAGGTTGATGATGATGAGGTTGACGATGATGATGATGATGGCGGTGGCGATGACGATGATGATGATGATGATGATGATATTGATGATATTGATGATGATGATGATGAGGAGGAGGATGTTGATGATGATGAGGTTGATGATGATGATTATGATGAGGACGAGGAAGATGATGATGATGATGATGACGCTGCTGGTGATGATGACGGCTATAATGAAGTTAAGCAACGGGTGTGGCTGGTAGATCCTACCCTTTTCTTCCCTAGCCCCACCCCACCCCCCAAGGTTGAAGTGTGATGGTAATTCGAAGGAAGTGGAGTAGCGGTTGTGTCCCGATAATGAAGTTAACTAGTAGCGGTTGTGTTCCTATAATGACGTTAACTAGCCCCACCCCACCCCCCCAAGGCCCAAGGCTGTGTGTGTACAACTGAGTCAATTTTGTGTGTACAAGTGAGTCAGAATCCTGTGTGCGCAGCTGAATCAATTTTGTGTGCGCAAGTGAGGCGCCTACCCGCAGGGAATGGATCCACACTTTCTCTTAAACCACCCGGAGTTTTCATACTTCAAATACCCGTGTGTTTCAGTTAAACCATGGAACAACTCTAAATTTGATAGTTTACCTGGTACCTTAACGTTTCGTGTTGAACTTGCAATTTTGTTGGGGGAATACAGTAGATACATACCATTATATACCCTATTTTCAGACACTCCCAATTCTTAGGCCTGAAGAATTGCAAGACCCGAGGAAGTTGTCACTACTATGAGCACGGAGTTTTCATCACCCACCGAATTGTGGATGATCATCATTGGCCCCCTTAACATATTAACACGGCCATAAATTGCTGGTTGGTGGTTTCAAACATGTTTTATTTTCCATCATATATGGGATAATCCTTCCCATTGACTAATATTTTTCAAGATGATTAAAACCACCAACCAGATTGGGATATCCCCTATTTTTGCTCAAAGCCACGTTGCCTCAAACTTAAAGGGACCAAATCCCTGGGTTGATTTGTACCCCAAGCTTGAACATGATGTCCCCAAAACATAGATGCTGCTTATCTCCCCAATGTCTGCACAGTTCAACGACATGACAGATTTTCTGGATCCATTCCCCCCTTTTGGACCCCCGCGGCTGCGCGAAGAAAGCCATGAGGAGCGGCTCGTTTCGAGAGCCGCCGGAAGCGGCTATGCTGTGGATCTCATGTACCAGCGTGGTAGGGCACCCCAAATCCTCAGTGGCTATTTGGCTTGGTCAGGCACTGGGGGATAGCCATGGATCCCCCAAAATAGCCATTTTTAATATTTTTTAATATGGTGATCAACTAGGGGATGGGGTATGGATATTATATGATATTATTATATGATATCTATAGATATCCCAATCCCTGGACAACCCTACTTGTACATCAGAGTGGCTCAGAAATATAGTTCTACTAGATCCACCAAAACAGGCAAGCCATTTGCGCTCTTCAGCTTGTGTTCTCAATGTCATTTTTCGTAGAAGACTATATTCACGATTCAATCACATATTGGTTTTTCCGAAGCAGGACACCCTCAAAATTCAACTGTTTTGAACATCACGTTCCCCATTATTCAATGACCATCATTTTTGGTATCGCTCATGGTGGGGCCAATCCGGTATCAACCCGGTATCAACCAATTTTTCGCTGGCTAATGTATCCCCCATCTTTGGAACACCCAGAAATTGACCACTTTTTAGGTCGATGGGTATGGGTCAAAATGACACAAATTAAATGATTGCTTTACTGTACACCTCCAATTTTGTTTGGTTAGACTATGTTAAAATCCTTTGTTGGTCAACACCTCATATCCCTTTTGTTGATCAAGAGCCAGGTTTAGCAACGCAAATTATTAGGTATGTGGCTCAAAATGGTTGGTTGTATACCCCCAAGTGGAGTGGGGGACACCCTTGGTTTCCCCCTATCAAACATGACCCACAGCTTTGTTGTGAACATAATCGCTGTCGACATGGAAAATAAACTGATTTACCCTCCTGGAAAATAATGACCCCAACTGACTCATATTTTTCAGAGGGGTTGACACCACCAACCAGTTCCTTATTTTATTCATCATATCTCAGGATATGGGTATGGGTCAAATTTTTTCGACCTGAGGGACCACAGATTTTTTTTAGTCCATTCAAATAGTATTCACCATCCAATGATTGCAGTACCCAAGTTTGACCCATTCCCTCATAGTCTAGATAAACCAATATACCATGACATGTCCATATATCTATATATATATATATCTGTCCACATGAAATGCCTGATTTTCTTGCCACAGCTCGGGCAACCTTCCCCCCTGGACGTCCCTTGAGGCCGGCACCCTCCTGACGGAGCTGTTGGTGGATGCCAATCTGGGCGTGCGACAGCTCCGGGAGGCACGCGTGATCTTTTTGGTTGTGGGTCAAGTTGTGGGAGGCACCCGTTTTTTCTTGAAAACTAAAGAAAATGACCCAGGTGACCTTATAAAAAGGAAGTTTACATGTTTAACGTACTTTCAAAATTAAATGAACAGTTATATAGGCAATTCCATGCACTTTCTCACATTTTCTTGGCAATCCTAAAGGATCTTTAAAAGGCAGACAGCATGGCAGGAGGTTCATATGGGGCAGATCATCTGTGCGAAGCTCCCAACTGTCAATGGATTTCATGAGTAGCATGAAGCACCGGGGATGGCTCTGTTCTTGTCAGGAGCTTGCGCAGAGGCCGCCGGTGGAAATGCAAACATATTTGGTTGGAGAAGGGTTGGAGAATTTGGTCCAGGTTGGGGTGTAGTTTGATCATGTTTGATCGCTTCAAACTCAGATTCCAATCTGCTCGGGGTCGCAATCAGTTGTTTTTAGAACGTCAGTTCCAACGCTGAAAGGCTGGCCGTGCCAAAGTGTTGGCCTCAGAAAAATGCAGTGGATTCGTTCTGCTGGTGGTGGCAGCTCCCGGCATCCCCCAATTCAGCCTGGCAATTACGTGGAGGTGTGGCCATTCTTAAGCAAGGGTTTAACATCATAGCAACGCTCATGAAGATAGAATCAAGTAAAACATTTGTGTATATATATATATATATACAGATTATTAAACATTCCTACTAGAATAGTGGTCAATTTATAGACAGTAAATTTAACCGTGTTCTGTCCTTTTTTGGGGAAGCCAGAGATCTCATGACATCAAGGCCGCACTTGGCCATGCTGTTGACCGACGGACGATTGCTGCAGGTGCCTGGGCCCAGCCGTGGAACCACCACTGTTTTTGTTGCCGTAGTTTCATTACTTACAATTCTATGTCGTTCTACTACAGTAGATTGTTTTCTGATGTTTTTCTATTTTACTATATATTTTATTATTTGTATTATCCTTTTTTTTAGTAAAAATTGCTTTTGACCAACACCGCAGGGGATGATTTGGTGAGACCAGGATTGGGTTCCCTCGACACACCGAAGTACGGGCCAACTTAGGTGGTCACTGTTGGGTAGCCGGTAGCTTTCAAATTTCCCACCGCATGAACAGCAGCGTTAAACAGCTTTGTATGGCTCAAGAATTATTCAAGCATGGGGGACAAGTTGATCCACTTGTATAAGTTTGGGGAATTCCTTCACACGATCGTGGTAGATGTCCTCGGAAAACCTGGTTTGGTCTTGGATCATGAATTCGGGATCCAAATATGGGCGGTGCTTAGTAGTAATATATTGGCTATATGATTCATTGTATATACCCAAGTCAGAATGATAATCATACCCATTTAGTGATCTATGAAGAGTATTGAACCAAAAAGAAAATCATTGACATGTCCCATCGTTGATATTAATGATTTTCCATATAGATGATATGCCAAGGATAATCAAGGATATAGATCCTCTATCAATGATATTGATGATGATATATGTATATATATATATACATATACATATATACATATATACATATATACATATATACATATATATATATATGTATATATCATTCATGACTGATAGAGCTCCCCCATATATACTCCGTTTGCGCCTCTGGGAGCGATCCTCCGAGGTACACGATCAGCGCCCCTTGGTGAGGATCTTCATGGGGGACATGTGGGAGCCCTAGTGTTTTCTCAGGTTTGCTCGTATAAAGCTGGTGATGTATGATGTTAATAGTAAGTTAATGTAAGTTAATGTCCATCAACTTTTTCCTGGAGAATCCCGGTTGGTTTTTCCCACACCATCCAAGCAAACTCCCTGCAGCACAGTTCGGAACGCCCGACTCAGGTGAAGGGAAGCAAAAGCCAACTGTGGCAACCCCTCATGAGCCAAGCTGATAGAACACGCATGTAGTGGTCGTTTTTTTTTTTCTAACATGGTATAACTTTCAAGCATGCACCCATTCAAGCCAATACACAATGTTTTACTACAACCAGTTTTGGTTGTTGCCCACGTTTGAAAACACAAGCTGTGATATTTTTCATGATTCTGAGCGCAAGGTACGTTTCCCCGGGAAAAAGACAAGATTAACAGCACATTTGGATACATTTGGGGTGTCATCATGTGTCATCGCCGGAGTCTTCCCAAAAAACCATCTCCAGCGAGGGGAAAAATCACCCGGAAATCCATCACCGGAGTCAACTCTGCAGATGGCTCAACAACTTGATTGAACAATTATCCAAGTATCATATTATCAACAGCAATAATTTTGATATATTCATATATACCATCTGGTTATTTAACATAGCCATGGAAAATCATGGAAAATCCACCCATTTTTAATAGGTAAACCATCTATTTCTATGGGCCATCTATACCATGGCTATGTTAGTCATAACCAGAGGGTATACAGATAGATCTACCAGTTCCACCCGAAAAATCGGTGAAGTGCAGAATGCCCAAATCGTACCATGTCACCGAGTCCCGTGGATCATTTGACGGTCTAATATGCAAATAATAATGACAATAATACATATCATACACATAAGATTATAATCGATCATGTATATATGATACATACATATACATAAATATACACACATATACATAAATATACATGCATATACATACATATATATATACATACATACATATACATATACATACTTATATTTTCATTTATATACATATACATACACATACATACACATACATACACATACAAATACATACATATATTTTCATTTACATACATATACATACACATACATACACATACATACACATACATATACATACATATACATAGATATACATACAAATATATATATATATATATACATAAATATACATACATATTCGTACATATTCATACATATTCAATTCATACATATACATACATATACATACATATACATGCATATGTCTATATATATACATATATACATATATACATATTTACAAATATACAAATATACATATATACACATTTGCATATATACCTTTATACACAAATACATATATACATATATGCATATATACACATACATATATACATATAAACATATATATACATATATATATATACCTACATATATATGTATGTACATTTATATATATATATACACATACATATATACACATATACATATATATATATATACATAGATTTATTTATTTAAATACCTATATATATATACACATATAAATACATCTCTATATATACATATACATTTTTACATACATACATGTTTACATACAAAATTGTTTGTATATATATATACACATATGCATTTATATTTACATAAATATATGTATATATTGTTTTACATATATATACATATATTTGCATATGTATGTATACATCCCAGAGAGATCAAATGATATGAGATATGATAAACCATGTCCATCGAGGATGATGTTTTCCTGGATAGTCATGCCGCAACGATCTGACCCAGAAAGATAGAAAACTTGGAAACTGGGAAATTATGGGGAAAGATCACCCAAAACATTTTGGATTCCCCGCGGCACCCACGAAAGAATCGGCCATCGCATCGTCCATCGCGAAATTTTAATGTCAGCCGGATGACATTGGGGTTTGTCGGAAAATCGTGTATCTCTGTAGATTTGTATATGTATGCCTCCATATGCCTCCCAAATCCCCCAAATCAAATGGTGAATGGTGATGATTTTCCCTGTGGCCATGGGCCATTTCAGACAGACCATTGAAGTCCGGCCGAGTTTCACACTAGACGACGTCGTGGCACAGGTCCAAGACGGAAAGATAGGGGCACGCCACTTCAGATCCTGACCAAGGTAGGTGTAGCTCAAATAGCCAGAGACATTTAGAATATCGACCAGGAGATCATAAACTATATAGCTGTGATATCTGTAATATTATATATATATACACATACACAACATAAAATACAATACATAAAATGGCCCTAAGAATAGATGCCACGTATGGTCAGAGTGATTGTCGCAGCGTTGGGCTCCATCGAGAGAAAATACTTCTGCCATGTCGAGCCTAACTCTACCCTTGCTGCGGACCGCCGAGCTGTTGGGGAAAGTGACACTTTCCCCAAAAAAAATACTTTGTTGATGTTTGTTGTATGACTGCCAATGGGAAGTATCAGACGTAGAAAAACCGGCCTTGGTAGAGCAAACCTTTCAGAGTGGAAATCTACACACCAAGCTGCATCGTATGTTGAAAGATCTCTCCAAAATCCGTCCCGACCTGATTTTTCAATCCACCCAAATCCATCCGAAGAGTCAAAAACCAGCTCAAACCATCCAAGGTATGCCAAAATCATCCAAAATCATCACAAAAAAAACACATTTTTTATCACTCAAAAACCACACAAAAAAAATGGTCACCCCTCATTCACCCGGTGAAATCATCCCGCGAGGACGGAGGCCAACGGTGGTACTACCACCGAGGCCATGGCATCCTCTGGTTATGACGTTTACATAGCCATGGTATAGATGGCCCATAGAAATAGATGGTTTCACCTATGAAAAATGGTGATTTTCCATGGTTTACCTATTAAAAATGGTGATTCTTTCCATGGCTATGTTTGTTAAATAACCAGATGGTATAGATAATTACATGATTAGCACGATCCACCACCAGAAAGTGTTGTTTCTGAATGTTTCTATCTTAAGCTTCTATTGATGTGTCATGATTGAAAAAATGCATCTTAAAATGTTCATGTCAAATCTTAGATATGATTTGTTTCGATATTATTTGAACGTATTTTTTTCCGACGCCGCTTCAGATTGAGGTCGTGTTCGTTCTTTGCCAGGCCGATGTGGTTGAACACTGGGCCGCCAAATTGGAGGCCAAATGGGATTTTTTTTTTTTTAATGGGAATCTCATGGGATATGAATGTAACCAACAATAGAAATCAATATCTGGTTGGTGGTTTGGAACATTTTTTTCATATATTGGGAATAGTAATCCCAACTGACTAATATCTTTCAGAGGGGTTGAAACCACCAACCAGAAATCAATATGATACTTGGGTGTCTGAAAATGGTGGTTAACATCCTTGTATATCTTCCAACTGGCGATTTATAGGATAGATAATGATTAGCCAGGGTTTATTTTCAGACGCACCCAAATGTTTTGAATGGAAACCATTTCAGAATCAATCTCTCCCAAGACTGCCAACCAGGATAAAAATGGGGTCAGGGTTCAAATTCATCTAGAGGCGCAGAGTGAAATAGACTGCAGTCCTTTGCTGTGCTATGAACTCAGACATCTCAGGAATCCAATCAATTGTAGGACCTTAAACTTGTGAGATTGCTATAATTTACCCAGCAGTTTTTCATTCCATCACGGATAGTGGATGCTTTGTGGCCGCAAGTGCTCAACATGTTCTGATGCCTGCTTTCAGCCAGGGGTGCGCACCCCTCTTGTCGCAGCTGCCCACGGATCAGCTGGGGCCTGCTGAACAACATAGGGAGGTGCCGATTGGGGCTGCTGATCAGTCATTGGCTTCGTTTTCTTTGGAAAACCTACAGGAAACCATAGGATTTGACCTGCAAATTTCCTGGGATTTCCTGTACATGTTCATCTAAGTCTTGGGAATCCTCCTGCACCCCAAACTGGATTATTTTTCGGTGAACTCTTGTAAGATTCCAGCAAGACTGGGAACAGGTGGCTGTACTCATAGAATTGATTTGTGGTTGGGCTGCTCTTTTTTTGGCCGGCAGCAAGGGATTGAACCGATCAGGCCGATGTTGTATCTGTCACCTTTGCCATGAAAGGTACCGCTGGGGGATGCTGGGGTGACAGGGGATACAGTTCATACATTTGGATACATTTGGTGGAACATACAATCCCTTCCGCCAAACTATACTGTAATCCCCATCTGGATTCGACAAATTAAGAAATCCAGTACTTGGAATATTTGGAATATCTGTACTTGGAAATCAACATTTTGAATTATCCAATTCTTGCCGAATAGTTGTTTACATATTTGTCCCCAACGGGATATCCACTGCTTGGGGAATCGGCGCAATAAAAATAGGCAATTACAACTTGATATGAACTTGATCTCTGGCTCTAAATGGGAATATCATATGTAGACATTTCATGACATTTCAATATACTGTATGTGATATAATATGATAATATATGTGATAATATTATAGTATATATATAATTATATATATATATATTTGATAATATGTACATATATATATAATGTATACCAACCAGCCTAAATAAACAATGTTGGATATATAAGATTGTCCTTGATTACTTGATGTGATCTTAATCTCATCACCCTCGGACGTAAACGACGGATTGGATTTTGCTTATTTGTAGTCATTCTTGTTTCTGCGAGTTCCCATGTTCTTTACACGTTTGACTGCGTCTACCAACACTGAGCAGTACTTGTTGTGCTCCTTCAGCGTTGGAAAGCTGCTCGGTCCATACGCACCTTCACAAGCTCTTCGATGTGTTTCTTCGATTGAAATTCTGCAAAAATGATGAATTCACAGATATGTTATATGGTTCTATATGGTTTATATGAAGATGCTGCAAGTCTATGCCATCCCTTTTAGATTGTGATTTTATTAGATCATACTAGAACCAATCATTTCTTTTGCCTGACTGCTCAGCCTCACCGTCACTGTTCAGAGGCCCCTTGCCGCATGTGCGGGCGCCCACTCTCGGACAGGGAGATTGGGGCAGGACATGCAGCGAGGGACCACCAGCCCTTTGGTTCCGCTGTTGGATCATTTGTATCGTACATCAATGAACATAAAGTATAGAGACTGTATTTATATTAACTATATTACAACTAGTGTATTGAAACCTTGTCGTCAAATCAAGCATGCCTTTTTACTTCTGGAGTCTGACTCTTTCTTCAGAGATGCTTCACACCCATTTCATCCATGCCACCAGCACTGGCACCTCCTTTAGTGCTTGAAATGCCTTTGCAATGCACAGGACGAGTTTGGAAAACCGTTGTATATCACTGTTGTATATTGTTGGATGTATAATAATATACTGTATCTATAATTATATATATACCTTGTATTCCAATTAAATCCCTCCATACTTGTTTGTTTACCAACGTTCCCAACTTCAAGCAATCCATGTACCACAAAAATGGATCCCAGTTTCAGGAACCCACTTTCATAACCATGGATCCTGTATGGGTTTCCCCAAAAATGATACCAACCAAGTCTAAACATAGCCATCAACTAATGGAGAACATGCGTTCCCCATCCCTCAAATTTAGGGTCTTCCTATAACTTTCAGGTATGGAACCCAATTGTGACGCATACAAAGATCTCACAACCTGTTTTTGGTAGCCCTTAGATATCCTATTCTATCGCAGTATATCCCAGACATGTCCCAAAAAATCTAATGATATCCCATGTGTTTCACATGTTTTTCCCATATTTTTTTCCGAATTGTCATGTGTCAACTCCAAACTTGATGGCTTGTGATGGATATGATCATAGTATATATTTCATACTTATCCTCCGTGGAACATGTCATTTTTGCCCCAATTTTTCCCATTTTTCTATGGCCACAATGCCATCCATGGGCGATTCGCCATGGCCCCAGGCTGAGCCGTCACTGGCTGCAGCGCAGCTGGTGGCCGCTGTGTCGCTCCTCATGGGGCGCTACAGCTTGGTCGGGAACGCCTGGCAGCGGCGATGATCCAGATGCTGGTAAAACAATGCCATTTTTACCACCCATGACTGGGAATGGTTTATTATATGTTTATATATATATTATATATATACCATCTATGGTGAAATTGGGGATGGTTTATGATTATTTTACCCACAGTAAAAAGTTAATAAACACTGGTTATTATTAAACACTGGAGGATAAAGATAGTACCTGGCAATGGTATTAACAATACATAGTTCATAGGCTGTTAGTAGTAAACATATTAACCCTACATCCGATTCGTAGTATTGCGTCATATTATTAGTGTTATTAATCTTAAATTAAGTATTACCATTCACGAACAGGTAAATCATGTAAATCTCAATTTTCAATGAATATTACATAAAGATTCCTTTGCAAATACTCATACTGGGTACCCTTAATTGAAAACAACATAGGCAATGGACAACATTCACGTGAGCACATGGAAAGTGCGAACGTTGTTATGGATCTAATCTCAACCCTCTGAAAATCGACCAAGCCAGACGCCAAAAAAACATAGATAGTGTAACAATCGTGAACCAACCATCATTTATCAACTAATATCCGTTTGTTTGTTTGTTTGTTTGATGGCTAAATTTCCATGTTTAACTAGCAATTTTCATGATGGCTAAATTGCAACTATCAACAAAAAAAAATCCCCATGTGATGGTGAACGTTCTTTGGTTAAACCCCCATAAATGATGGTTACCCTCTGGTAAACTAACATAGCTATTGAAAATGGCCATTTATAGTGGATTTACCCATTAAAAATGGTGATTTTCCATAGTTATGTTAGTTTACCAGAGGGTAACTCCCCAAGCATGGCGGTCATCAAACGTGGCTGGTCTCGTTCTCCCTGAACGAAATGAAAAAAAAATTCTATTGCCATTGCCATGGTTGATTCCCAGAGGGCAATAGTTGATACTACTTGACAAAAGAATCATAGTAACCGTATGTAATGTAATCGTACTAATTTAATGATTATATATATATATATTGTTAATTGTTAATACTAATTGCTATAACGGGGGGTAAACAATGTTAAACAGAATAGTAGTCATAGCTAGAAAGATGGGGCGATAGGTCAAAATTCGCCACGGGAATTTGGCCAGGTTCACCATCGAGCTTCTATTGGATTCATCCACTGGACACAGTTGGGCCCAATTCAAATCCTCAGCGGCTTCAACCAAGTGCCGACCCAACACTTCGAAGAAAACATGTTTTTTTTTTCCAGGGACAAACACATCCATACATGTCCTACGTATACATTATATAACATACAAATAGATGTGGATACATGATATATCATGATATATCTATATCATTCTATATCTACAGATATAGATACATTGATCAAGTTAAACAGAAAAATGGATAGATAGATATAGATATAGATTTACAACACACACACACATATTATATATTGACATACAGTATATATTATATTTTAGATACCTATTGGTTCACCTCCTCCCAAAGCACCACAAGATCCGGAACGCCTCTCAGGCGAGTGATTTGAGCGTCGGCCTCTGGCGGAGCGATCTCGGAACCAAAGGCTGTCAACCCCTGCGGGTGAGCCTGCTGAGGCACCGGTGCTGCGACCCGGAATCGTTGGAAAAACTCTTCCCCAAATTGTCAACTTACCAGATCAGTTGCCCCTGGAAATCTCGAAATTTCCTTCTAAAATCATCATTCTCTTAGGACAACGATGACGAATCTTGCGGGTCCATTCTTCATATTTGAGCCCTCCCATATTATCTCAATGCATCCCACTACATCCCACTGCCATGATTGTTGGTGAATATCCATTTTTCCAACCCCAGTATATTTCAAATATGATCTCCCATAATTGAAATCTCAGTGAATTCCGAATGTATCCTACTACATCGGCATATCATTCCACTATGTCCCAACATAATCCCATCACAATCCATTGTATTACCATATTATTATCATATTGTCACCATATTGTTACCATATTATCACCATATTATTACCAAATTAGTACCATATTATATATTACATATTACAATATATTACCATTGGTTTGTGGTTGATCTCCCCAAGCTATCCCATTGCGTTGTCTTTTTCGATTGCTTCAGACAAGCCGACGATCCCACTCCGCTGGTGGAGTCCAAAATGACCGAGGAGGCCCCGGAGATGAATGATTATGATGATTATGATGATGATGATGATGATGATTTGGATGATTTGTTTCATTATTGATTTATTTATTATTTAATCATTTTGTGTAATTGTTTTTTTCAAGTTAGTTTTAATGTTGAGTTATTCATTGTTTATTCAGTATTGATGATTCAATAGCGTTGATGATCAGTATCACTGAATCATTACTTTGGTCATAAAAAAAGATCAATGACAGTCAATAATAACAATCACGCACATGATCAATAGAGGACCAATAGATGACCAATAATGATTGATAATAAATAATCATCATCCACAACCAATAACGGGTGTTTTTCTTTTTTAATGGCGATTTTTACATATGATTACCCTATCTTTTGTGATTGTTATTATTCATATCTATTCATTTGTCATCATTGTGAATCATCTACGTTTGATCATCGCAACGCCGATGCCGCCGCTGCTGAGCGATGCCGCCAGGAGAGTTCCGTGGTGACGCCTCTCTCATCCTTTGCCTCGGGCGAATGCCTGATCCAACGCATCCAGAACGAGGCCGCTGGGCGCTCCGCCAGATCTGCAACTTGTAGAGCAATATCTAGATGTATGAATGTATATAGTATATGATTCTATAAGTATTAAAATACAGTATATACGTTATGTGTGATTTACATATACATAGTATGTATATATATAGTATGTATATATATATAATATGTATATGTATATATATATAATTATATATATATATATATGTATATACAATATGGATACAGATAGATAGATAGATAGATGGATAGATAGATAGATAGATAGATATATTTATAGATGTACCACATTATGGATAGTTCATAAGTTACAACCAATATTTGTTGTCGCGTTTTTTTCTCCTGGCCATGTTGGAAGGGTTACTCGAATCATCCCACAGGCCGCATAAATGCGGCATTCCATGTTAAGTTATAGATAAGAATTAATGTTAATTATATATAGATGAAACTATAACTGAATATATAGATTAGCAACAGGATTATTCAGTTATAACTTATAACTAAATATAACATAATATAACTACATATATAATCATATACATTCAATTTATATAGATGTTATAGTAACATGATTATATCTGATTATATATGGAATTCCCATGAATACCACCCTTTTTGTAGATGTTATAGTTTATCAATATTTATCATATAATTGTCCCAAGTCTGTTTGAAGCACACAAACGGGGGTACACCCCATTTTTAGACACAACTCTGCAGGTGCTTCTTCTCAAGGACGCTGATGGCCAGCTGGGTCATGGACTAAATGGCTGTTGATACTAATTATTTTAAGAACCGAAAGGAGCAATGTATTTAGTTCGACCTGCCACTATTTTTGGTTTTTGCAGCTATGTAAATGATGATATACATAGGTTACATGGTCGCATGCGTATGTCATGTCTTCCATTGGTCGCTACTGGGTTTTCCCAGGGCAGATTTAAGGATCATCCCAGCGTTTGGTGGCTAAAATTTTGCCAGAAAGAACCATGATTACAAGGATTTATGAACCATCAATTATCGCAGGAGTTGGTGGAATCCACCTGATTTAATATGATTTATCGGAGTTTGGTTCGTATGTTCGCAATGTTTGTGAAATACTTTCTGTTTTACGGGTGAACCTTGGTGATAGTTTCATGGTGAGATTCTTTGCGTTTTCAGGACTGGTTTCTATCCCAGAATCGGACGAAAGATATGAAAGGACCTTTGCAGGACCCCCCCCTATCATTTATGGTAACACCTCCAAATAAACATGTGTAAAATCACTAGATATTGTTCCCCACGTCTTTCGTCTTTCCTCCGATCTACCCTCAAGTAATTTAGCATAGCTACTGATAATTGCCATTTACAGATGATTGACTGATTAACAACGGTGTTTTTCCATGGTCATGTGTTAGTTTACATTTTTGGGTCTCCCATTTACAACTGGGAGACCTAGCCATGATTCCCAATCATTTACCACACATATTCATCATGTTGATCCATTTATAGATGGATTTAACATGATTATATCTGATTATATCTGGAATACCCATAAATGGGGGTACCTTTCTTTACCTTAGATCAAGCCACGGCAATTTTCGTTCAGGACAGCAAATTGCTTCTCTCAGAGACGGCTCTGCGAAAGTTGGACCTCAGATCCAAGAATGAGGCCGCTGCCTTGGATCCAATGGGACAAAGTGGGTCACCCAAAAGCCATCTTCATGATACATATTATATTAAAAATGATTATCATGATGTATATTATAGTTATAGTCATGATACATATATATATATATATATATGTGTTTGTTACATATATATATATATATATGGTACCCCCCCAAGACCTACAATTCAATCAAGTTTAATGGTATTTACAGTGTTTTTCTTACATTTTGGACTCTACAACTTAGGGCATTTTCTGGTGATCAAAAATTGCATTTTTTTTGCAATTCTGTTCCCATCCCACCCTTCCCTAAGTACATCGCATCAAAGATTCAAGATTCAAGATTCAAGGCTCAGAAAAAACTTCTTGAATCCAAGAGGGTAGGATTCAAGATTCAAGATTCAAGGCTCAGAAAAAACTTCTTGAATCCAAGAGGGTAGGATTCAAGATTCAAGATTCAGGGCTCAGAAGAAACTTCTTGAATCCAAGGGGGTAGGATTCAAGATTCAAGGCTCAGAAAAAACTTCTTGAATCCAAGGGGGTAGGATTCAAGATTCAAGGCTCAGAAAAAACTTCTTGAATCCAAGGGGGTAGGATTCAAGATTCAAGATCCCCAAAAAACTTCTTGAATCCGAAGGCCTTCAGCCTTGAATCTTGAATCTTGAATCCAAACAGAACAGGTGGGATTGAAGAAGTTTTTTTTCTGAGCCTTGGATCTTGAATCTTGAATCCGGATACTTAGTACTCGTATTAGTCACCAGAAATTGCAATTTCTTGCAATTTATTTCAAATGATCGGCCTGTTTGCTAAGGACATTCCTCAAATAAACGTGCTTATCCTGTAAAAGAAAATTCTAAAGCCCATTATGTTGTCTTTGCTTTCCAAGCAAATCAATCAACTTTGGCAAAAACAAAGAAAAAAACACAAAAAATGCAATAAAGGCAATTAGATTCATCATAATAAAAGTAAAATAAATTGAAAAAGAACCTTCTTAAACCGTATATAATGTATTTAACAGAAAAGAAGAACACATAAACATTAATAGGTAAACTACATGAACTCATCCGATAGCAATACCTCTTTATCCACAGATCAATCAAAACCTTCCCAACAAAATGTATTAGAAAGGGTTGCAGATAGATCGGCGAAGAACATTTTCTTTAAAAAACATGTTTGCAATTTATGTTTAGAAAAAAGGTAATAGACTATAAAAACCCTGAAATTCTATCAAAGTTCACATCACAAAATGGTAGACTAATATCAGCAAAAAATACAAACTAATCAATCTGGAAAAAAACATATTCAAGATCAAAAAACAAGTTGCTTAACTTAAAAGCTAGCTAGATCCTCAGAATATAGAGCTGAAAGAACCAAACAAATATAGGATCTTTCGAAGTAAAAATACATATTCACCCAATGCTAGAAACTCCTTCAATACCTACCAACATATCACGATATTAAGAACTATCAAAAATAAGACAATTTATAATGTGACAAATATACTAAAAACTAATCTATAGAGTTTTTTACTTATTAATTTATTATCATCAAAATCATGTATGCTTAACAAATAATATCTAACTCAAGCACTCCTGGATTTAAAGCAATGAAATTACAAGATCATCTACATAATACATTTATTAAGAATGAATTATTACAACAAAAATACCAACTCTAACTCTTCTACAAAAAAGATTGTAGATGCTGAAGAAAAAACTAATGAACATAACGTAGATTCACAAGAACAAATAAGACAATTAACATCAAATGAGAATATGATTGATTATTGTCAGTTTACTTTGCAAAACTTGATGGAATGTTATGAAATTGCAGGATGGTTAAAACGGTGATTGCGTTATAAAATCAATATGCCTAAACAATATAACTGGAGATCAGTCTTATATATATATTGTATTTTTGTTATACACCTTTATTATCTGTAAAATCTTACGTAAATAAACATGTAAAATCTCAAGATTCACTAACTATATCATCTAACCTTGCACAAAGCTCAGCTTTGGTAGAAGCTAAAACCTTTCAAATTGCTACAGAAAATTTAGTAAACATGAACTCCACCAGTAGTCATTAAAAAAAAAAAAAACTACCTTACAAAAAGTGGTATTCATCAAAAAATATAAAGATAGTATGCTATACTCTGTTGCAAAAACAGATAACACAATTTCAATCCATCTATTCCCCTAATCATATTGCTGCAAATCCTAAAGGTTATGTAAAAATACCAGATGTTGTAGAAGATATTGAAAAAGCAGACTTGCAAGAGTCAAATCATAGAAAAAAATGTGCTGATATATTAAAAATGTCTGAGAACATTATAAAACGTTGTATAAATATAATGAAATAAATATATCAAATGTAGATGTTACAGCGCTATGCTGCAGCTACATATGTGGGCAGGATGTGTCCAGGCGCATGCGCCCAAGATACTTTCCTGATGCAGTGCTACAATAGGTGAGGAGGATAAGAAGGAAGACAAGGCATTCAAGGACATATCTAATACACAAAATGTAGGTCTTGGGAGGGGTAGCATATATAATAATATATACATATATACAATAACATTGTAAATTATGTGATACATCATACCTGCTTTTGGCATAGGTCTTGTTTTCCCGCAGAGAAGGCTTGCAGAAATGGCACTATTTTGGGCATTATGGATGCATTATTGTTTATTATTGAGTTTTGCACTCTTATGTATTTTTGGTAGTGACACCATCCATAGAATTATCAACAGGGAGAGTTTCCCGACCTCCAACCTTGACACGTGGAAAGGAATATTCCTACCATGAGATATCTATGTACACAGCCCCATGGAAAGGAATAACAAACACATGCTAATTGTTTGTCCTGGAATTCAGAGGTCTTTGCGCTTTTCCTTGTCTAATTTCCCTGGGTGTTCGTTACGCATTTATGATTCATCCGATTTGGGGACTGGTTGAAGATGGTTGAAGTCACCAAATGTCACCAACCAATTTAAAAGTAGTTAAAACCAAGTTTTAGCTGAAATGATCACGTTCTATCTCTTGGACAGCCTCCGCCCACTACCAGTGAACATAGAAGATTGATAGGAATCCCCGGCTAAAAGAGCTGGGTAAATGTATTTTTTTTGGTTTTTGAACGTCACCTTCGAGAATCTGTTGGAGATTATATCCCCAATATATACAGGGTTGCTCCAGCTATAGGGAAATGATCGCCAGTAGGGTGGAAATTGAGCCATTTTACCACTACAGTTTGCCAATTCACCCTCCCAAACATACCTGGGGTGTTGGGAGCAACCCTGATAAATTTGGGTGATTTTTAGGACATTTAACACCCCTGACTCAACATGTCGATCAACAATATTATATATATATATACATCATTATAGATTAACAATATCTCAAATACAATATGTATATATATATATATATACGTTGATTTATTTATATATCGGCAACATATATATATATATATAATATATAATTATAATTATAATTATAATCATAATAATAATAATAATTATAATTATATATATACACAATATATGTACTGTATACATATATATGTATATATCAACAATGTATAGTATCCCCAAACAAAAATCGTTGGGTAATACCACACCGGCCAGGCCTGGTCCAGCGGTCGGCTACGGCTCTGTCGATCCATGGAGGTGCCATTCTGTCTGTTAAACGTGTTGGTAGCGGTGGTCTGGTACCTAGTAATTGTGATGTTATATGATGTTTTAGTAGAATGGCATAATATACCTTAATTCCATGATATCTAGTATAATTGTTGTACTATATATATAATGTTTGCATGTATGACGTAAGATAAGATGGTATATTATAGTATATGATAGAGGGAAGTTGCTCTAAAGGTCCTTGTAGGGTAGGGATTCTGCGGCAGCATGTCCATCCACTTGTTGAGCCACCTGGCTGTGGAACCGCGCGTCTCTATTTTTAAAGTGATATTCAACTGGTTTATAGAATGCACACCCCTTCTGGTCAGAAACAAATCCCTGGGACTACAATCCCAACTGATCAGGAACCCAATGGAATCGCTCAGCGCCAGATGTGGCTGCTCCCTAAAAGGTATTTCTGAAAGGTCACGTCCAATTTTCTATCCGATCCTTTTCTGATGGACTTTCGTATATAAAAAATCCGCAAGCCTCAAAATGATAGCCATCAGTCATTAGTCATCATCATAGAATTGGATGATGGGAAAATTTACAGGAAAGCCCTATATTTGATGGTAAAAACCATGGTTTCCTGTAGATTTTCCCTTAAACCAACCTAATGACATCAACCATGTTCCAAAACACAGAACCACCATTCATCGGATGCCCGCAGATCTTCTTGGTGCTCGGCAAAACGGCGACCCCATCAAGCAGCTGCCCGCAGGCAGATCTGACCGATATCTGAAGCATTGAAAAATGGAGTTGTCAACAAGAAGACAAATATGAAGAATGGGGATATATGGGGATATATGGGGATATATGGGGATATGTTGTAATACTTATACTTACCAATATTTACTATTCATACTGTCCAATTTTGACCAACATGAAAATCAACAAATAACCAACATCAACCGCTATTAACCAATATGAAGCAACATTTCGCAACACCAAAAGGTGCATCTGAGATGATCTAGTTCACCAAACAGGGAAAATGCGAGTGGTTTGGTCCATTAAAAGGGACACCTGATAAATCGAACATAGAACCAATGGAAATCAGATCTTGTCTAGGACACCCTCTGGCAAGTGGACATAGCCATGGGCAATGAAAACCTGTTTCAAATGTATATCATCTTTGTACCAGAGGGTATTGTTCCATGGTTAAATTTCCAAAGTGCCAGGATGACATCCCACTTGTTGGTTATATCCCAAACATATTCCCATTCTGGATGGTAGATCAACCCACATCATAATATCGTTGATTATATATCCCATTCATATCCACTCATATTCCTCATAAACTCAACCTTGTTGATGGTTAAACAGCTAAACAGCAGCCATGGGTGGTTTTCTATAATATTCCCATTATATTCTGGTTATATATATATATATATGTAATTATGTATATATATATCCAACGATATCGGATGATGTTACATGATGTAACTATCATTCACGATCATCAACTATCCCATCAACTATTCCATTATGATCCATTAACTCTACCATTAGAGTCCATTACAATCAAATTACATTCATTATATCCTACTAAACGAAAAACATATCATATATTCCATACTATTCTCAAGGTAAATACCACCAATAATATTAATAAGATGTATCCCATTATATAATCAACTGCATACTATTCATAGTGTCATAATTATTTAGATATCCCATTAAGCAGCCATGACGCAGCGATGTTGGAAGCCGGTAGGCAGCAGTGACGGTGCTGTGCTCACGATGGCCCCCTCGAGCGAACACGGTGCCCAAACTTGAGCCTTGGTTAAGGCATGGTAGTGCAGATGGTTGCGAAATCCTGATAGCTGGTGAACATCCCTTGATTTTGGATGGGTACCAGACTGAGATTTCTTCCCAAAAAGGATGCTTCTCCCACTTTGGAATACTTTGAGGAACTATGTTATAATTTATATATCTTTGCAAAACTATGCAAAAATTGGAGTGTTTACTGTGATGATATTAGCTACGATTGGATTTTAGATAGTGATTTAAGCATATTAATGATATTGATATTCGCTATTGATATTAGCTATTGATATTCCAATCTATATCACTAGATTTTAGATAGATGGTTAAAGATATTTTAACCCATAGCAATGCGCTGCAACTGGTTAATTACCATGGTGTCCAGTCAGAGTTGGGAGAACTCCACGGGACTGAGTGAGAGGCTCATCCACCAGGATCAGCTGAGGATCCGACACGTGATGCAAAAGTAATGGTCGTGATATACTATGATCATCTATGATAATATATGTATATATACATATACACGTGTAATATATATATGATATAATTTATACAATATAAGTCATTGAAGAAATCCAAGTCGCGATGCTTCCAGAACCACCATTTCTATCCCTTTAGAAGAGCTGATAGATTCTTAGGAGAGCCCAGTTGGCTTCCATGACAGCACGCTTTATGGCTGGCTTTCTGATGATGATGATGATGATTATGATGATGATGATGATGATGCTGATGCTGTAGACCCAATGCTGCTCTTCAATTTGATTTATCCAGTCTTCCAACTTGGTTTTCCAGCTTTTCAGGGTGAATTGATGGATGGTGGACGATGTTGCTGGAACATGCATCCATCAAAATCAGGCCACATGTTTGGTCCTTTCAACATTTTTTTTAAAGTTTCTCCATGGTTTTGCCCCACCCCTACTCATTTAATGATGAATGTGCAACAAGTTCGGTGAATATATGTTTATATATATATATGTGTGTGTCTGTATGGATACATACATGCATGCATGCATACATACATACATAACATACATACCATTACATTACATTACATTGCATTGCACTGCATTGCATTGAATTAAATTACATTACATTGAATTACATTACATTACATTACATTACATTACATACCACACAGACAGACAGACAGACAGACAGACAGACAGACAGACAGACAGACATACATACATACATACATACATACATACATACATTCTTACATACCTACATGTATATATATATACACACACATTGATCTCACCACACGACTGGAGAGCCTTTTGATTAAACCGCCTTCCTTTTTATAACTTCGGGTGGTTTCTCTCATACTTTCCCACCTCTGCCTGAAAGCCACGGCCTTAGGAGATGCGCTGCTCCCGTGGCCTCTTTTCGCCTGATACCATTGCCAGGAGAGAGATCTTTCAGCAGGTCGTGGGTCGTTGGTTAATCCTTTTAGTTTGAGGGCCTATGAGAAATACGTGGGTAGAATATTGCTGCTACGGATATGGGACTTATGGATATTTGAAAATGTTGGAATATTACATACTTTGGGGGCTTATCTAATATCAGTGTTTAGTATTATATGTATATGAATAATTATGAAACAATTTATCATGATATCAAGGGGGCCTTCTCGTATTACTTCGGGTTGGTGGCATTGATTTCTTTTTTTTTCAATACTTTACGTATGTTCAACAGTTCAACCCAATTTTAGAATATGTTGGAATGATTGGCCAATTTTAGGATTTAGATTGATATGTAGTGTATATATATATACATTGTATATATGACTGGGATATCATCAAACATGCAGATTCAACCACAACAAGTGGACCATGCTAATCCATGATATAGGTATCTCAACCAGTGAATTTGTTTGATGGTGTTGAAATTGATTTGTACATAATATTTTCGGGTAAAGGTGACACCGCCGGATAAACAATAAAATATATACATGTTTGGCATTCAGATAATGATAAGAACACCGAATCCAACAAAGATAGATCCTATTGTTTGAATATTCCTGCAAAGTGCATGTGTCGAGATTAAGGCCAATTTTTTTGTTTGTAATTTTAACCTTTTGATAGACATATCTTCACCATTCATAACAGTCGCCTTTGGAAGTGCAGCAAGCTGTTGACATGGAAAGATTTTTTAGTCCCGGGGATCCACAAATCTTGTTTTTTTTTATTTGGCAGTGTGTCAAAACCATTGGAAACCCCTTTTTTGTTCACATCAATACATAGCTGGGTTAAAATGGATGTGAATAACCCCCATCCAAAATGGTATTTTCATAGGTATTGATCCATAGCCATATCTGGCGATGTTTAGTAATACTGACCTAAACAGATTATTTTTCATCAGCTTTTTGGCATCCACAACATCCAACAAATCTGAAACAGCTCTTTGTACCTGATTAAATCCAGTCAAATCCTCATATTGCCCATCTTTGTGGCTAAATATGTCTGGTTTTTGTTGGTTAAATCATCCAATGACTTGAAAAAAATCCCAAGTCCCATGGGAGGATGCTCAGACATCTCACAACGCTCATGGATGCGTTGTCAAGGCTTGGCCCATCTTGGCCTTTCTTACGCCAGGTGGAGAATATGTTGGGGGGTTCCTAAAGTAAAAAACAACATTTAAAAATAAAAATAAACAACTCCAACATTTGTCATTTTTACATAGGGAAACTGGATGAAACTGGATGAAACTGAAAACTGGATGAAACTGGATGAAACTGGATTTGAAACTGGATATATGTGTCATTTTATATTGTGTCATTTTTATTCAGGGAAACTAATGGTTTTGGGGATCCTCAATGTTGAGATTCACACTCATGTAGGTGTCAGAACGGGTTGACGGCAATTATTGGCAGTTGATCAGTTGATGATTCACAAAGCGCCTGTCTTTGTTCCGAAATGAAACCAAACATCCTCGTTTATCTCAAAACCATCAAAGAGGCTGATTCATGCTGATTTTCCATTGCCATTAGACAACTAAGTAGAGATATCATTGGAGCGTCTCTCAGCCCCTCGGTTTCAACGGGGCCTTGCCCAGGTCGCCAGAAGCAGCTTTGTGCAAACTGCCGTTGCAGCTGCCACACTCGGCAGATGAGAGCGAAGTGTGCCAGTGGTCGGATGCGTACAGCCCCTTAGCACGAGTTGTGATGGATACTGATATAGCCATTTAATAAGAGGAACATGGTAGAGCAAGCCACAAGAGTTTTGGGGTACCCTATTTTGGACACACCCAAGTCGAGAAAAGAACGGATAGCCAAATTTTGTTTCGTTGAATTTTGCTTCTTGTGTAAACAACTAATCAACACACGAGGGTGTTTTCTGGATACATATACAAGTGCACTACGCGCCATCAAACATGGGAGGAATCCGCCGGCGAGAATATGGGCTATTTGTGGGTAACTAGGGGTTTACCAACCAGAAGAAGTGTTTGGATCTGTTTGGTGGGTTGGATCATGTCCATTCCATCCCTATGACTGTGGCGTCAGGTTCATCTCGCTATGCTCCTGGGGCAGAAGATCATTTCTCCCCAGATATCTCCATGTGTTCCATGTGCCCTGGCGGTGGCAGGCTTGACGTGGCTCAAGACTGGAAGCAAAGATGGGATAAATATGAGTTCGATTATGATTCATCAACATTGATCATCACAGAAATTGATATTGGGTCAAATCAACTTTCAAATCCTATTCTTACCATTTACCATTAATCATCCATTAATATCCATGAACCATCCATTAACCATCCATTAACATCCATTAACCATCCATTAACCATCCATTAACATCCATTAACCTTCCATTAACCATCTAACATCCATTAACCATCCATTAACCATCCATTAACCATCCATTAGCCATCCATCAACCATCCATTAACCATCCATTAACCATCCATTAACCATCCATTAGCCATCCATTAACCATCCATTAGCCATCCATTAACCATCTAACATCCATTAACCATCCATTAACCATCCATTAACATCCATTAACCTTCCATTAACCATCTAACATCCATTAACCATCCATTAACCATCCATTAACCATCCATTAGCCATCCATCAACCATCCATTAACCATCCATTAACCATCCATTAACCATCCATTAGCCATCCATTAACCACCCATTAGCCATCCATTAACCATCTAACATCCATTAACCATCCATTAACCATCCATTAACCATCCATTAGCCATCCATTAACCATCCATTAACCATCTAACATCCATTAACCATCCATTAACCATCCATTAACCATCCATTAGCCATCCATTAACCATCTAACATCCATTAACCATCCATTAACCATCCATTAACCATCCATTAGCCATCCATTAACCATCTAACATCCATTAACCATCCATTAACCATCCATTAACCATCCATTAACCATCCATTAACCATCCATTAACCATCCATTAGCCATCCATTAACCATCTAACATCCATTAACCATCCATTAACCATCCATTAACCATCCATTAGCCATTTATTAACCATGCATTGATCCATTGATTTTGGGAGCTCTGCCATCGCCAAGGATCGAAGCCTCGGCCAACGCCTTTCCCAACGACTTGGCGCTGTTGGACGATGGCTCCGGGACGACCTACACCTATCAGGACCGGAAAACGCCGAGCTGTGACCCCTCCAGGAACTTGACATAGACCCATGGGAAGACCCTGCCACATAGGGGGAAGATTTGTTTGTTTCCCACGGAAAAATGATGGGAAGACACTGCCAGGGGAAGAGAAGTTTCGAAAAATTGGTGATTTTCAGGATGTGCATTTACCATCATTTACCCGTTTTAACATGTTTTAACATGTTAAACAAAAGGCCAAGACATGCCAAACAAAAACTGCAGCAGAGCCCTGGAAAAACACGGGGCAGCCCTCGGCATGATCTCTTTGGTCCGAATTCATGGCACTTGCCGGGCCAGGAAGTTCTGAAGATGTCGAGTTGCTGGATGCAGACAACGCGGGTGGTATGATTTGGGGATGACAGACAATTACCCTCTGGTAATTTAACATAACTATGGAAAATCATCATTTTTAATGGGAAAATACACTATTTCTATGGTCATTTTCAATAGCTACGTTAAATTACCAGAGGGTAATCATAATTCATCCGTTTGTTTGTTTCAAGACATTTGGTTCAACCATTCAACAACCTGAATGAGCCTCTACTATGTGCAGATGTCTCACATATAGAGTGCATATGAATGCATAATATAATATAGTTATATACTATATACTTATAATCATATCATATAATGAGCCAAACAATTTCACATAGAATGCCTATAGAATCCCAAGATCACCAACTGTCACCAACTCCTTCCCCAGTTCGGCCCATTTTTCACTGATGGCTGAGTTCCATGCTCAGGTTCACTGGCAGTGGCGCTGCGGCAAGCGGGAGTTTCTCAGCGATGCAACTACGGTGCTGGTGTTTATGGTCCTAATTAATTAGCATGGTTTGGTTAATTAATGTTTAATATGGTTCCAATGATTTTGTAAATCGACTTATATATTAATATTATGGTTTTTCAATGATTTTAATGGTTTTGACGTTCGCTACAAGGCCGGAAGGCGTTCCAATGATGGATCAAAAACCAGCCGAGATCTCCCTATGCCATCCCTTGGCTCCAAGGTTCTCCAGGATACGCTCGTTCCTTTGATGGCTTCCCGTGGAGTGGAAATGATTCTAGGCATCCTTGGCATCATGCGAACTGGAAGCGGCTTCTTGGACGACCCATAAATGGGCGACTTTTTTAAGGGCCCTCGTCTCGGAGCCGCTGAAAAAAGCACCCCATCTTTGTTGCTTCAAGTTGTAGCCATTGATCCGATGTATCCCATGCCCAGGTTTGGAAATTGATCTCAGTTGACTATGATTCGCTGGTATGATATATATATATATATATTCACTGAAAAGTTTGGGGGGTGAGACCCAAATGGGGTGAGAAAAAACCCTTTAAAAATATGAGAACACATGGGAAATTAGGGAACATAATGGAAGATAATGAAAAAATATGACAACATGACAAGGGACATAAAAACATGACAATTTGAGAATTTGACAGTTTGCGAGAACTGTGGCTCAAACTTCTCAGTCAGTGCGCTTGGATGGTATCCAGCACGAGTTTGCAATGTCAAGGGCTCAGGTTCGTACAAAGCCTGTGGGCAGATCCATCACATGTGATTCTCAAAGGAGAATCAGGACAGCAGTGGTCTCCTGTTTCTTGTAGGTCAAAACATCTTCAAATGAACGAGCTTGAAATGGCATGGTCTCACAGAGGGCAAGGTAGGGCAGGGTCTCGCTCATCAAACATCTTCAAATATCTTCAAATGAATTAGAACAGATGGCAGGGTCTCACACATCAAGGAAGGCAGGGTCTCACAGAAAGGCAGGACTTCACAGAAGACAGGGTCTCGCCCATTAAACAAAGGCAGGGTCTCACAGAAGGCAGCACAGAAGGAAGGCCCCTCGCAGAAGGCAAAGCGTCACAGAAGCCAGGATCTCACAGAAGGCAAGGTCTCACAGAGGGCAAGGTCTCACAGAAAGCAAGGCGTGTCACTCATAGCAGGGACTCACACAAGGCATGGTTTCACATCTGAAACAAAGGCATGGTTTCACAGAACACAAGGTGTCACATGTTGAACTGAGGCCTAACTCTCACAGAAGGAAGGGCCTCGCAGAAGGCAGGGCCTCACAGAATGCAAGGTCTCACAGAAAGCAAAGTCTCACAGAGGGCCCAACATTATGAACAAAGGCAGGGTCTCAGAGAAGGAAGGGTCTCACAGAAGGCAAAGCCTCACAGAAGCCAGGGTCCCACAGAAGGCAAGACCTCACAGAGGGTCTCACAGAAAGGCAGGGCTTCACAGAAGGCAGGGTCTGGCCCACTGAACAAAGGCAGGGTCTCACAGAAGGCAGGGGGGTGCCAAGCCTAGTTTGGCTACAGGCATGCGTATCACATATGACGCAATGCAGGGTCTCACACAATAGACAGGGAAATAAAGGACCTCGCACCTGAAGGTGTTTTCACCCGTGAAATCACACGCTCCCGAACTGTTGCTCTCCTCTACTGCTCCCACACGCGAACTGCTCTTGCTCACTTTCTGGTTGGCGGCAGAATGACAGGACCGGCCCTGGACATTCTTCCAAAACTGAAGTTTTGGGGTTTTATATTTGGCCAATGATAGGAGCAAGATACAATCTATAGATATGTAGCTTTCGATATAAATTGGAACAGAAGTCCGGGTCTCACACATCAAGGAAGGCAGGGTCTCACAGAAAGGCAGGGCTTCACAGGAGACAGGGTCTCGCCCATTAAACAAAGGCAGGGTCTCACGGACGGCAGGGTATCATAAAATAAACTAAGTCAGGGTCTCACAGAAGGAAGGGCCTCACAGAAGGCAAAGCCTCACAGAAGCCAGGGTCTCACAGAAGGCAAGGCCTCACAGAAGCCAGGGTCTCACGGAAGGCCAGGTTTAGCAGAGGGCAAAACTTTAGAGAAAGCAAGGTGTGTCACTCATAGCAGGGACTCACACAATAGACAGGGGGAAACAATGGATTCCGCACCTGAAGGTGTTTTCACCCGTGAAATCACACGCTCCCGAACTGTTGCTCTCCTCTACTGCTCCCACACGCGAACTGCTCTTGCTCACTTTCTGGTTGGCGGCAGAATGACAGGACCGGCCCTGGACATTCTTCCATAACTGAAGTTTAGGATTTTATATTTGGTCTATACTAGGAGCAAGGTACAATCTATAGACATGTAGCACATTTTTCGATATAAATTGAACAGACGGCAGGGTCTCACAGAAAGGCAGGGCTTCACAGAAGACAGGGTCTCGCCCCTTAAACAAAGGCAGGGTCTCACAAACGGCAGGGTATCATAAAATAAACCAAGTCAGGGTCTCACAGAAGGCAAAGCCTCACAGAAGCGAGGGCCTCACAGAGGGTACGGCCTCACAGAAGCCATGGTCTCACAGAAGGCAAAGTCTCACAGAGGGCAAAACTTCACAGAAAGCAAGGTGTGTCACTCACAGCAAGGACTCGCACAAGGCATGGTTTCACACCTGAAACAAAGGCATGGTTTTACAGAACACAAGGTGTCACATGTTGAACTGAGGTCTAACTCTCACAGAAGGCAGGGCCTCACAGAAGGCAGGGCCTCACAGAATGCAAGGTCTCACAGAAAGCAAGGTCTCACAGAGGGTCTAACATTATGAACAAAGGCAAGGTCTCAGAGAAGGCACAGGAGGGAAGGCCTCACAGAAACGCAGGCTCTCACAGACTGCAGGGCCTGACTGAAGGCAAGGCCCAACATGTGAAAGAAGGCTGGGTCTCATAGAAGGCAGGGTCGCACATAGGACAAAAGGCAAAACTTCCCATGTGAGAGAAAGCAAGGTCTTACATGTGACAACAGGTAGGGTCTCACATATGGCAGAAGAGAGTCCCGCATATGACAGAAGGCAAGGTCTCACACGCGAAAGAAGGAGGGTCTCGCACATGACACATTGCAAGGTCTCACAGATCTAACAGGGTCTCGCTTATGACAGAAGGCAGGGTCTCACACACGAAAGAAGGAAGGGTCTCACAGATGACAGATTGCAAGTCTCACAGATCTAACAGGATCTCGCAGGACAGAAGCCTAGTAGGTAGGGTCTTTCAGAAGGCAGCGTCTCACAGCAGCTGGAAGGGTCGGAATAGGGCAGATTTCCGACAAACGTTCGACAACATTAACGGGGCGAGGAAAACGCAATTAACGGGGCGAGCAGGACCACCACCCCCTCCTGTCCACCCCCACCCCCTTCCACCCGCTTCCACGCCCCCTTAACACCCTCCCCAACCCCTTCCCTTCTCCCTTAATCCCTCCCACCCCTTCCTCCGACAAACGTTCGACATCATTAACGGGGCGAGGAAAACGCAATTAACGGGGCGAGCAGGACCACCCCCCCTCCTGTCCACCCCCACCCCCTTCCACCTCCTTCCACACCCCCTTAACACCCTCCCCAACCCCTTCCATTCTCCCTTAATCCCTCCCACCCCCTCCTCCGACAAACGTTCGACAACATTAACGGGGCGAGGAAAACGCAATTAACGGGGCGAGCAAGACTTCCCTCCCTCAGCACACCCCCTCCTGTCCACCCCCGCCCCCCCACCCCCCTCCACACCCCCTTAACACTTTGCCCAACCCCTTCCATTCTCCTTAACCCCTCCCCTTCCCACCCCCACCACCTCCACCACCACCAACCCCCCCACCCACCTCCCCACACACCCCATAATCCTTCCCAAACCCCTCCCATTAGATGTTTTCCAGGGTTGCCAGGAAAAACATGGAAGGCACATGATTATTTGGTAAAAACAAGAGAAAAACATAAGAATCACGGAAAAAAAACATTTTGCTTTCCTATGCTTCCTTTGCAAATAAGATGCTTTCTTTCAGATGTGGGACCCTGCCTCCTGTGAGACCCTGCCTTCCCCTCCGTGAGACCTTGCCATCTGTGAAACCATGCTGCACCCAGACTTCTGCAAGATGCTTTTTTTGGCGAGAAATTGCTATGACGCCCTGCCTTCTCTGATGCCTTCCCTTCTGGCCTGTTTACGACCTTTATTGCAATTTGCTTGCCCAGTGAGTGAGGCCTTGTCATGCGAGACCCTGTTAGATCTGTGAGACCCTGCAATCTGTCATGTGCGAGACCCCTCCTTCTTTCGTGTGTGACACCCTGCCTTCTGTCATATGCGAGACCCTCTTCTGCCATATGTGAGACCCTACCTTTTGTCACATGTCCGACCTTGCTTTCTCTCACATGTGAAGTTTTGCCTTCTGTCCTATGTGCGACCCTGCCTTCTATGAGACCCAGCCTTCTTTCACATGTTGGGCCTTGCCTTCAGTCAGGCCCTGCAGTCTGTGAGAGCCTGCGTTTCTGTGAGGCCTTCCCTCCTGTGCCTTCTGTGAGACCTTGCCTTTGTTCATAATGTTAGACCCTCTGTGAGACCTTGCATTCTGTGAGACCTTGCATTCTGTGAGGCCCTGCCTTCTGTGAGGACCTGCCTCTGTGAGAGCTAGGCCTTCATCCAACATGTGAGACCTTGCGTCTGTGTGACTATGCCTTTGTTTCAGATGTAAAAACGTGCCTTATGTGAGTCCCTGCTATGAGTGACACACCTTGCTTTCTGTGAGGCTTTGCCCTCTGTGAGACTTCGCCTTCCGTGAGACCTTGGCTTCTGTGAGGCCTTGCCTTCTGTGAGACTCTGCCTTTGTTTAATGGTCTCTGTCTTCTGTGAAGCCCTGCCTTTCTGTGAGACCCTCTGTGAGATCTTGCCCTTCTGCGAGGCCCTGGCTTCTGGGAGGCCTTGCTTTCTGTGAGACTCTGGCTTCTGTGAAGCTTTGCCTTCTGTGAGACCCTTCCTTCTCTGAGACCTTGCTTTCTGTGAGACCTTGCATTCTGTGAGGCCCTGCCTTCTGTGAGGCCCTGCCTTCTGTGAGGCCCGGCCTTCTGTGAGAGTTAAGCCTCAATTCAACATGTGACACCTTATGTTCTGTGAAACCATGCCTTTGTTTCAGATGTGAAACCATGCCTTGTGTGAGTCCCTGCTATGAGTGACACACCTTGCTTTCTGTGAGACCTTGCCCTCTAAGACTTGCCTTCTGTGAGACTCTGGCTTCTGTGAGGCCTTGCCTCCCTGGCTTCTGTGAGGCTTTGCCTTTTGTAAGACCCTTCCTTCTGTGAGACCTTGACTTGGCTTATAGTCTGAGACGTCCGGTAGGCAGGAGGCAGGAAATTTAGTGTTACTACTGCCCTAAAATGTGTCCGATTTGGTGTGTTTTTAGCATGTTCGTCGGGGAGGCTATTTTCGCAGGTTTTGGACAAGCAGGGGTAGTAGGCAGAAGTGTACCTCAGAAGGGTGCGAAACATATTGTGGCTTCTGCTTACTGCACCTCCTTTCCATTGAGGATATAATGAGCATATACATAGACATGTGCATATATACAAATAGATAGGTAGATAGGTAGATATAGATATATAGATAGATAGAGAGACGTCGCCTCAGTTCGCGGCTCCATTTGCTGAACAGCACTGGCACTAACACTAGCACCAGCACTAGCACTGTCTATACTGTCTATCCTTAATGTATGCATGTACGCTGCCTGTCCGCACGGGGACCCATACAACCCCGCAAATTAGGAGCAAATAGTAATGTAGTTCCATCATGGGGTAGAGAAGGACCAAGAAGAGGGGAAAAAGAAAGCAAACCCGCCCCCCCACCATCTGCTTACTGCAGTACTATGTGTTTCATGACCTTGGGGTATTGGATACTAGGTGCAAGAAAAATCAAGACCGCCACTCCTACCAGTTGGCAGAGGGTGCATCTCCCACCGATACTATTCATAGCTAAGGATGGCCTGTAGGCAGGGATCCGCGCTGATGATCTAGTAATATCTAGTAAGAATTGTACCCCCATGCCCATCTAGTTGGCAAGTACACTTAAGTACCCCCGTGATAGCAAATTCTGAGGTATATGTAATTTGTTTATATACATAATGGTGGGAACCCCGGCCCCAGTAGGCAGATTCAGCTACATACAACATACAAACAAAGGCACCCCAGTGGGCAGAAGTGTACCTCAGAATTTGCTATCATGGGGGTACTTAAGTGTACCTAATCTGCTTACTAGATCATCAGCGCGGATCCCTGCCTACCAGCTGTCCTTAACTATATTCTATGATACCCTGCTGCCTTCTGTGAGACCCTGGCGAGACCCTGTCTTCTGTGAAGCCCTGCCTTTCTGTGAGACCCTGCCTTCCTTGATGTGTGAAACCCTGCCATCTGTTCTTATCGAAAAATGTGCAGCATGTCTATAGATTGAATCTTGCTCCTATCGAAGACCAAATATAAAATCCTAAGCTTCAGTTATGGAAGAGTGTCCAGGGCCGGAAAGTGAGCAAGAGCAGTTCGCGTGTGGGAGCAGTAGAGGAGAGCAACAGTTCGGGAGCGTGTGATTTCACGGGTGAAAACACCTTCAGGTGCGGAATCCTTTATTTCCCTGTCTATTGTGTGAGACCCTGCGTTGCGCCATATGTGATACGCATGCTTGTAGCCAAACTAGGCTTGGCACCCCCCTGCCTTCTGTGAGCCTGGCTTTGTTCAATGGGCGAGACTGTGTCTTCTGTGAAGCCTTTCTGCGAGACCTTCTGTGAGACTTGGCCTTCCGTGAGACCCTGGCTTCCGTGAGGCCTTGCCTTCTGTGAGACCCTGGCTTCTGTGAGGCGTTGCCTTCTGTGAGGCCCTTCCTTCTCTGAGACCCTGCCTTTGTTCATAATGTTGGGCCCTCTGTGAGACCTTGCTTTCTTTGAGGCCTTGCCTTCTGTGAGGCCCTGCCTTCTGTGATGCCCTGCCTTCTGTGGGAGTTAGGCCTCAGTTCAACATGTGACACCTTGTGTTCTGTGAAACCATGCCTTGTGTGAGTCCCTGCTATGAGTGACACACCTTGCTGTCTGTGAGACCATGCCCTCTGTGAGACCTTGCCTTCTGTGAGACCCTGGCTTCTGTGAGGCCTTGCCTTCTGTGAGACCCTGGCTTCTGTGAGGCTTTGCCTTCTGTGAGATTCTTCCTTCTGTGAGAAACCCTGACTTTGTTTATTTATGTTTTATTTTATGATGCCCTGCCTTCTGTGAGACCCTGCCTTTGTTTAGTGGGCGAGACCCTGTCTTCTGTGAAGCCCTGCCTTTATGTGAGATTCTGCCTTCCTTGATGTGTGAGACCCTGCCATCTGCTCTTATTTATTTGAAGATGTTTGATGGGCGAGACCCTGCCCTACCTTGCCCTCTGTGAGACCCTGCCATTTGAAGCCCATTCATTTGAAGATGTTTTGACCTTCAAGAAACAGGAGACCACTGCTGTCCTGATTCTCCTTTGAGAATCACATGTAATGGATCTGCCCACAGGCTTTGTACGAACCTGAGCCCTTGACATTGCAAACTCGTGCTGGATACCATCCAAGCGCATTGGCTGAGAAATTTGAGCCACGGTTCTCGCAAACTGTCAAATTCTCAAATTGTCATGTTTTTATGTCCCTTGTCATGTTGTCATATTTTCTTCATTATCTTCCATGATTTTCCCTAATTTCCCATGTTTTCTCATATTTTTAAAGGTGGTTTTCTCACCCCATTTGGGTCTCACCCCCCAAACTTTTCAGTAGTATATAATTATATATATTATATATAGGATTATATATATATATATATAGGATTATATTGGTGATTCTTCGATGAAACAATGCAAGTGCCTTCATCCAAGGCATCCAAGGTACGAAGTGGACCCCACTTGTAAGTTGGTCAATTCTCCACCAGATCCACACGTTTGGACATCCTCGTAGCCGTTGTTCCTATCCTGGCGCCAAAGGCCAATAATACCTTGCCATTTTCTATCATGTCATTTGGTTGCTTGATTTGGGACAGGATAGTTCCACTCGCAAAAGCTGAAAAAGTACTGCGATTTTGCACAGGTTGACATCTGTTGACACAAAATCGTGGGCTGCATCTGGTGAAATCTCGAGGTTATGTGCCTCTGGACCTTCACTGGCCAGATGATCGGCTCGCAGATGTCCTACAACAGTGCCGGAGCAAGGCTGCGGCGAACTGGGGACCAAGGGACCAAGGGACCAATGGGTCAATTGTGGTTGGAGAATCATTACCATTGGCCATTGACTTCTGGTTGGTAGACTGGTAGGCAATCTACAATGGTGAGTTGCCATCCATCATGGAGGGTAGTACTTTGGTAATTCGTGGGATCAATGGAATTGTCACTGGCTTTGGGTGATTGGGATACGTACCTCGTGGTTGGGTAGCTGTTTTCATTTGTGAGTAATACGTACTTTAATCTTTGGCAGTCTAAGAAATGTCTAAGAAATCTTGCTTAAACTGTTTTTTTGGCCATAATTATCTTGGTAAGTGGGAAGAGCTACCAACCAGTCAAAACACATGCTGAAATTCAATGGTTTTTGCATGGTATCTAAGACTGGCCACAGCCAACAAACGCAGTAGAAAGGTTTGTCTGAACATCAAGATATCCAAACATGGACAGTTTAATAGGGACCATTTTATCATCCTGTTTGCGGGCAGCCCATTTTGAGACGAATCAAAAAGAAGTAACCCGAAGATAAACCTTGAGGAGTTCACAGGAATGAGTTGGTAAAAGATGAAACATCAACTGGCTTCAGTGATGTCTTAAATGGGTATGCATGGTTCAATGGTTCAAGACTATGCTTAGCCTCATTCAATGAGACGCTTCAAGACTATGGAGCCACAACCAAATGCTGATCCAGCCCTGAACCCTGGCTTCACATTTTGTTGGCAGATGTATGTTGATCAGAACCATGATATCATACAACGAGCTAGCAGCATCTAGCAGCTAGGCTGCTGGATGCTGGATCTTCATCCCCATTTCATATTATAATATTTGATACATTTTGATACATTAAAAATGAATGATTCACAGTTTTTTTTTATTATATGTGTTGAATCCCCTAGACATATGGACCATATGGATTCATGAGTTATGTCAGTTATGTGTCCCCAGATCCCAGGGCACCCCAAAAAAGGGGCCCGAAAGGAGGGCTTCCCTTTTGCGCAGGTGTTGCTGGCCACCTCTGATTGTCACACCAAGATGTCCTCAATCGCCCGCAAAATCCCCGGAGCTTCTCGGCGATGGATGTTTTTGACCCTGTTTCCAGACAGTATCAGACAGTAATACCAAGTCTGGGATAATATGGGAGCATACTCTACTGCAAATGCATAATTGCAGATTATTATTTATGTGAGTGTATATATTATTATGAAATAGAAATAACATATATATATATTATAAGCCATTGGAATGGCCGCGGAATGTCTCCCTTTTTGCCTGTTGTCGAAATGTCCATCATGAAATCCGGATGTTTCTCAAAGACATTTCAGGAAGAAGTTGTGTTGTACATCCGTGAAACTAAGCCATGAAAATGCAGTTTCGTGTGGTTCATTGGCACCAGAAATTATTCTTATTTACCATGTGGGTTTTTACTAACAGTTCGATGTGGAAAAACCATATGATTTCTGCAGGAAAATCATCGTCATAGGCCACGCTACTAGGTGACCACTGTGCTGGATGTGAAGAGCCACCTGGATGATGGACATCTGTCAGATCAGGGCGCTGGCCATACCTTGGCGTACTGTTTCTTCACCTCGGGCACCACTGGAAAGCCCAAGGGCGTCATGGCTGCCCGGCGGCAGCCGTGGGCCAGGGCCATGGCCAGGGCCTGTTTGCTGACAAAAGTGGGACACTCCAGTTGCACATCTTGGTAAAATCATGGTAAAATCCAGGTAAAACCAGGTGAGTGTTGCACCCTTTGCATTCCTGGGATGTGTTAAGCTTTCGTTCCACTGACTTCGAGGTGGAGAATAAGGGCTTGGACACTGGCCTCAATGTTAGCGGGCTGGGGGGGACATCCACCATGTCCTGGAGGCTGAAGAGATGGTTCGGAAGCAACACATGTTGTGAATGCAAACAGAAACGGGGTTTATCTCTATAAACCAGATTCAAAGAGTCCATGGTCTATGATATATCATCTACTATCATTTATCATAATGTTATCTACAATAAGTAGATATTATCATCGTTATCATTGTTGCTTTTTAGTTGCCACAATCATTGTTTTGTGACAAAAACAATCCCATGTGTTCAGCCTCACTTTCCATCTATGCACTGCTCAAAGGCTGGCGGCTGGAATGGCTAATTTCTACCCTCTGGTAATTTAACATAGCTATTGAAAATGACCATAGAAATAGTGGATTTTCCCATTGAAAATGGTGATTTTCCATAGTTTTTTGTATGTTTACCAGAGGCTAATTTCTCTCAGCCTCGCATTTCAGGTGCACCGTATCCATTGGTTTCAGCAACGCTGGCCTCTGCGTCCCGGTGAAGGGGTCGTCTCCAAGGTGTGGGTCTGGTGACCCAAAAAAAGTGGATGGTTTTGACCGACGAATTTCACTCCCAACTATACAACTGATATCAAAAAAAGGAACCTACACCTCATTTTTATACATGGGTTTGTTTGAAACTAGGGCCGTAACTAGGGTAATATACTCCCGAAGTTGCAATTTAAATGGGTTGTTCTGAACATCAAATTTGGGGATCTCCATGGATCTCAAGCCAATGGCTGGGTTGTTCAGGTGGCCTATACCTTTGGCCTATCTGAATGGGAGATCTTTTGGCCGCTGGTAGCGGGGGCCACTTTGATTCTGGCACCCCCAGGCTGGTGGAGGGCACCAGAAATGGGTGAGTTCTTCATCCCCAAATTGTAGTTGTGGCACAGGGTTTTACCCCATTGTCGTCCCAAAGTACCAGATGTACCAGCATGACTTGATCCAAAATAGGGATCACGTGGGAATATCTTATATCATATCTATATCCTTGGTAAATACATTACATTTTTATAGAAACTATACATTACCAGTTAGAGATTTAAATTGAAATTCCAGGTTTTGGGTAGTTCACCAAGATGATGTTCGTTAGCTCGACAGAGGTGGAGAGAAGGATGCCGAATACCTGCTGCGGAGGGCATGCAATGCCTACATCCCACCGCAGCCACAGGACGGACACCGTGGAAATGGAGGGGCACTGCGGCACAGAAACGGAAACTCCCAGGGACCTGGGAAACGCTTCATGGCTCGGAGGTATACTAAGTATATTTTTCCATATTTTTCCTTTAAGTGTCCAAGATATTGCAGCAATTTGGTGCCTTTGAACTTGCACCAGCACCAGCATTTTGCAGCAGCCAGCAGCCAGGAGCGGCTACTGCCAGGGAAGGGACCAGCACCAGACTGTGTACACTACGTGGCCGCGCACGTTTTCGTCACTCGGTGAATCCGGTGAATCTCGTTCTTACCGGCCGTGTTTGTTTGGGTGCAACGACCTCACTGGCCGACCTCACCATATGGTTAGCATATAATATAATACATAATATTTTGTATAGTGATACATATATATATATACATTATATATATATATACACATAATATATTATATATATATATATGTATTATACATAATATATATATATATATATTATACATAATATATATATATATACATAATATATATATAAGAAATATTATAATATTATATATATGTTAGTTTTTAGTTGTATACTACTATAAGGGGAATCATACTTACACCGTACAAATGGTAGAACACCTCCAGGTCGGGACGGTCCTTCTGGAAATTTGCCAGCACCCAGGTGCCGTCAATGCTGCACATGGTCTTCGACAAGTATGATGAGTTGGAGGTCATGGGGGGAGTTGGCAGGAAGGTGTTTTCAATTTTTCTATGATGATCAGTGGGGACTTCAACAAACAAAACTAGACTAGAATTTAATATATATGTTATCGTGTCTTTTCTAAGTGTTTGTGACAGGGATGATCATACCCATTTTCTTTGAAACATGGGAATTGAGATTCAAACCCTAGTTGGAATGACCTGAATGAGCTATGTTGTCTATGGGGAATTCATAGGAATTATATAGTCGCTACGGACTGCAAGAATTGGACGCACGTCCCAGGTTTTGAGGGCTCCATCAGCCATAGCATGCCAAACAAATGCCACTTGAGTTAAACAAAATAGTCACCTTGCATTGAAGTATATATTACATGGTGGATTTTTCGTTGAATTTTCAGGTTGACAAAAGTTTTTTTTTGTTGGGTCCAGTTTCCACGTTCTCCCCTTTCGAAATGGCCAGCGGCGAAGATCCGGATGTCTGTCGTTCCTCCCAGGAGGAAGATATGCAACGCAAAGCGGGTGAGAACCATGCAGACGGTTGCTGGTTCTGTATATCATTGGTTAAATGGTGAACAAAAATGCTGAATATGACCAATAAATCTTATGAATGTTATCATGAGCTAAAACGAATTTTCCGTATCATGATCACATGAAATATTGCATCTATTTGCATCTGGTTTTGTTCTTTGTTTGTGTCGGATCCCCTGTGTTTGCCAACCGTGACATACAGTGACATAGTGATGGGATGTGATGGGACAGTATGGTAGTTGAATACGAAATATCATCACATATCCATGTCCTCGAATTCCTCTGATAATTGGTTTATACGATTTTATAAGTGATGTTTAGTGGATATTCGTTTTGGGGTACCTGCCATGGATGGTATTTCCAGTATAAATGGAGGCAGGAGGTATCCAAGTCGATTCCAGGGATTCTTATTGTGCATGACTCGGAGTGATGATACCCAGGATTACTGTAAACAAATCTTTTCTAGGCGGTCATTGAACTTGCTCATCCAACAAACTATAATAACAATAGTAATAATATCAATAGTAATAATAATAATTATTATTAAATACAATTAACATCTACTTTACACCACCACCGGTACCAGCGGTACTATACGTGCCGCTCATACGTTCCTTTTTGCAACGAGTACTCGTCACTGTAGTCCCCCGAGTCACCAAGGAATGTGGTGGCATCATTCCAAAGCTCGCGAGATCGTCACCTGTGGTGAGGCCTTGAATCCTCCATTGGCACAGTGCTTCGGCGTACGAAGGGCGGAAGGGAACTGAGGATGGCGGGATGACATGGGATGTTTTTTGAACGAGGACCAGTACGAAGATAGGTGAAGATAGGTGAAGTATATAGTCTCCATTAGTATCCGTCATTGATTGTAGTATATAATAGTAACGATATGTTTTATGTCATTAGGTTTAAAGATACCGATTCCCCTTTCACATGTTGCAAGAGAAAATTGGGCCCTGGGATCCAGCTCTGCCTCAGCTGAGGAAGATGTTTTCCCGCTTCCACCACTGCACCCTGACCAACTTGTATGGGCCTACTGTGACTTGGCAGATGCAGATCCGTAAGTTGAGCCATTCCTGGAATGATTGCTGGGCAAGTCTCAAAGAAATTGGATGCAACACAAGCAACTTGGTTGTTTGTAGTGAAAAGTGCAATAACATGCTACATACCTTGGTTGGCATGTGCATGCGATTTTGATCCATTCTCAATATTCAATGATTAGACACACTTTTTGGAAAAGGTCCATCCCCACTTCATCACCTTTGGATGTTCATCTCCGTGCCCCCCTCGTAACCAAACATGGCAATGGAATATGTATCTCCCAGCTATCAACCTCCATTTACTTCGACGACTTTCCAGCTAGCCACGTTGACACCGGAGGCTAATCCCATTAATCACCACTAGTTGATAATTAATATCCACTTAATAACCATACAATAAAGCCATTATATACGTAATACCCATATTAATAACCGCATATATATAAAATATTATAAAAATATATAAACACATATAACAACCATTATCTATTATGCATGATATCTCTATTATCCCCATAGAATCACCATTTTAGTTTAAATTCCATGTTCAAATGATGGTATATAAATCCCCCCAAACAATAAATCATATAAACATCTTTACCCTCCGGTAAATTAACATAGACCCTGGCAGTTGTCGGGGTTGGAAGATTAGTTTCCATGAAACAAATGGTGATTCTCAGGGTCCAACTGTGAGTTTACCAGATGGTCAATCCATGTAAATCCCATCAAGTCATCATTAGTCACCATTAATCACCATTAATCACCATCATGAACCATCATTAATCACCATTAATCACCATTAAATCCATGGTAAATCCCATCAAAAGTCACCAGTTCAATCGTCCAGGAGGGAGAGATGACCTACTGGGACCTTCCGCCCGGTCGCTCCATCCCGCGGGTCTCTGCGGGCGCGCCCATGCACGGCTCCAAGGCCACGGCGTTTTGGGGAATCTGCCGGGTTTTTCCCATTTCTGGATGATCATTTATTGATCCAAATATGACCCTCTATTAAATGATATGGAATGATATGGAATGATATGTATATAATGTGTAACGATTTATTGTTTCATTTGTTTCGTACATTGATAATCTATGAGTTAAAAGTTGTGGGAAGTTTCAGTCATGTGAAATGATGTTGAATTACCATCGGTAAGAGTTCTGCACCAAATGCTTCATAAATGTACACAGTTAGTCCATGCTACGCGTCTTTGTATACACATGAACTACATTGAACTATATTAGCTGAAAAACAATACGTTGAATGGATTGCTTGGATGATTGACAATAATCATCAGCCACCTGAAATGATCCCCAGTCATGCTCGGTGGATGAGGATGAGGAGGATGATGATGATTATTATTATTATCAGTCATTGGTGAATGATGCTTATCAACCACTCAATGATTGTTTATGGCATTGGCTTACTCATGCCTATCACGATGTGATCTAATCACCTCCATAAGTTCGGGGTATAGTCCCTACAATTATGAGGATTGGGGCAACATGATATCCACCACAACTTTTACAACGATCTAAGTTGGACAGATTCGGATAGATCCCATAGCCATCACAGAATCATAGAATCATAACTATAACATATAAGATATTCCTTAATATTCCTAACGCTTCTAACTTCTAGCCACAAAAATCGGCATCTTTTCGGAGGTGGTACTGGCGGACTTGCGCGAAGCCAAAGCAGCGGCGAGCCTGGAACCGGCCGAAATCGCCTTCGGGGGGCCCTTCATCGCCCGTGGCTACCTGGGCAGGTCGGATGGGGTCCCGAAACCATGGAGGAATAGGACGAGCACGTTTGAAACAGCGCGGGATGTTTTGGGGATGGCTTGGTGATTTTTCCAGGATGGTGGCCTAGACTTGAAGATGGAACCATAGATGTTGGTTCAGTCACTAAAACCAGTTTTTTTGGGGGAGTATTCGCTGTTCTCCCGTTCAAAATCTTGGATTTCCACTTTTGGGGAAGTTGCCAAGGGTTTGCAATTTGATTTATCCCCTGCTGATGGGTTTGTTTATCCCTTCGAGGGTTGGCCCCCCCTTGATGTTGCAGCTTCAAGATCACCGCACCGGAAACTGGGTGGTCTATGGGACCGCGAAAGATACTGTCATTGGGTAGTCAGGAACAATGTTTGACCCATATTTAATATATATATATACATATTATTCATTTATTATAGACATATAATACATATATATATATATATAGATAGAGCGTACTTGAATTCCAAATTTTAAATGTTCAAGCACAGTACATATCCATACCCCATAGCACCATGGGATTCGGGAACAGCTTGATATATCTTTACCAGATGTTCAAGCAGAAATCCCCACTTTCATCTCTGTTCAAATTTTGTTTGCAGAATCATCTACAGTAGTTGAATGGATATTTCCGAAGCATTTTCACCTGGAAATATTCACTTTCAAATTAGTCAATCATCTACATACCATCCAAGCAATATCAACTTGCCATGGAGGTTAGCTCAGCACACATCTGCAGGCCAGATCTGGATGCCAAAGCCTTCATTCCTGACTTCACTGTGAAGGAAAAGTTCGAAAGCAACTCAGGAGCTGGCAACTGGTGCGAGAACCCATGGAAGTCCCCATGGAAAGCCCATAAGACATCTTCAGATGTCAAGGGAAGCCCATAAAAATCCATGGACATACTTGAACATGGCAACATTGGCATTCAAAAACAAAGCTGCTTTTTGAGGACATGTCAACATTTGAAAATGCACGCCACTTCCAAGTTCCGTTGAACGGGCCCTGTTGTGACAGCCTGGGCCTGGGCGAAGCTCGTGGCAGTGCATGTGACATTCTACGCATACCTGAAGGCCACTTTGTTCTTGTCCATATGCTAATATGTGCTGGTGTATATATATATAAATACAACTAAGTCAATACATATAAGATCATATACAGGTAGTAGATATCAATATATATATATATATATATTGAACATATGCATTACCTGTAATATAGATCTATGGAAAGCCCTGTCAAAGCTTTCCATGGGATGACACGAATGATTTGTGGAGGAACAACGGTTGAGAGCACACCCATCAACAACTTCAGCGAGGACCAGGCCAGTGGTTAGCTCAGAAGCCGTGTTGGGCTGGTGATTAGTTCGGGGTTTATAGTACCAAAATCTACCCAATCCAATATCTTGGGGATTATCATATTCTACGGGTCAAAGGTTTGTTTCAACTTGGGCCAAAAGCTGCCTGAATGGGGTGAACAAATGTGAACAATCTAAGGTTTCCCTGCCCCAATTCTTGGGTTGTGCACCTCTGACCGCCCATGCGCGTGTGGGCCGGGCGGCGTCGAACGGACAATAGAATTTGTAGACAATGTCAACCCTGGAGTCCGAAGCCCCTAGGGTCCTGAAATGTTCAATTTGGATCAGTTTAGAAGTTTCATTCCTACAACAAATTCGTCTTTTTTTGGTGTAACCCCGTTTAACCCCAGCCTCAGTATCCCAACTTGTCAACCAGGGTGCCGAGCCCTGCTCCTGGATGAGATCCTGAATTGTAAATGGGATTGTCTCAAAATTTGCACCCCATGAATATCCATTGATGAATCACATTTAGAATGTTTTTTGAGCCATTGGGCAATCCATGGAGAGTACTTCGACCATTCAAACGGCCCCGGAATGGCCAGACGTGGCCCCACAGGAGCCTGCGGAGAGTCCGACGCTGAAATCCTGGAAGAGGCTTTACATGACAGGCCCGGGACCTGACGATTTTTGGGGTGCCCAAGAGGACGCCTGAGAAAAGTTGGATATCTCAAATATCAAGATCTTGATCTCTCTATATATATATACATATTTATTGATTTCATCAGATTTCATCATATTTTATCTATGACATACGACAAATGTATATAATAATGTATATTATGATTATATACATAGAACTGTATACATATTTGCAAACAAATTCCAAGAAAACAGCCAGTGGCTTCCCAAAGTTTTAGCTCCTGATCCTTTTCTGGGCAGGCGATCTGGGACGTTGGAGAGAGGGTGGTGTGATTGATCTGCTTGGCCGCAAAGACTTTCAGGCCAGAATTTGGCGGACTGGCGGACTGGTGATTCTGTCTAACGCGGTGGTCATTCTTGTGAAGCATGAATGGGAAGAACCACAAGAAGTTGGGGATGTTGACCAGCAGTGGTGATGTATTCATAGCCATAGCCAATAGTATATATATAATGTTAGTAAAGCAATAGTAAACCATCCCAAGTTTACCCATTTTTAATAGTGTATAAACCATAGCAAATTTTATGGGTGGTATAAAACATCAATCCACATTTCTGGGTGGTCTGCAAACATTCCAGGTGAAGCTCCGCGGCTTCCGCATCGAGCTGGGCGAGATTGAGGCACAGTTAACACAAAAGAAGCCATCGTTTTTGAAGGTGAAGCCTCAAGAAGTTGGATATGATCATGGTTTTACGCATGATATACACGCTATACCTATATATATAGATATATTATAAATATATATATATATATACATATACATTATATATATACATTATATATATATATATACATTATATCTATATCTATATCTATATCTCTATCTCTATCTATCTATCTATCTATCTAATTATATACTATAATATATAGTGTATATCGTATGCTATATACAGTGTATACCTGGATTTTTTATGCCTCTCTATAGGCGGCCTGCCGCGCGGCCGGCGCCCGCGCCGCGGTCTGCGTCTTGCGGAAGAGCAGCAACGGAACGCAGGGCTTGGTGGCCTATTACGAGCCAGGCAGGGGAACCATGGGAATTTTTAGAGTTGGGGTGGAAAACAAGGGAAAACCATGGTGATTTCCATAAAGTAAAAAAAACTATTATATATATCTGGGCAAATTTTAACGACCTCACTGCGACCTCACTGGAAATCATGGTTAGTAAGGGGAATCATCCCAAAATGGCCTTAATTCAGGTTAGTGAAATATTATAATTTACCCAGATATATATATATTATAATAAAAATGATATAAGCCCTATAACTTATGGTTATAGATCCACTTACTAAGTCTTAATAGGAACTGCAACCACAAGCAGTCTATCCGTCTATCCCAGAATTGGATGGCAAAATGTTCAGGACCTCAAACCACTGCAATGAGTTGATATTTGTTGATGGTTGCCTTTTCGGAGGATTATTAAGATGATTTTGACCATGAGAAATGAACTCTTTTGACCCATGTTACTGGGAAAATGTCAACCCAAGATCAGTAACCCATGGTTCTGAATAGAATGGAGGTTCTTCAGAGTGGCAGATTCGTACTTTTGGGGGACATTCACCGAAATGAATCAACCGGGGAGCTTTTCAACCCAAGATATTATGGCACGAAAGGTCAAAATCATTGCAATGGGGATGTTAATCAACAGAAACATAATCGCAAGCTACGAGATGGAACATGATGGAACATCATAACTTCAGACCACTTAAGTACAAAAAAACATCGTATGCTTCCCCCGTGGTTATACCACCCTCGGCTGCCCTATAGGGCCCTATGTGGTTCAGTTGTGGATCCATTGGATCCATATGGTGCCATGAGATGAGACGGGAACTTGATATTTTTGGGGACGGGAGTATACATAACATCATTAATATTAAGGGAGTATAATATTGGGAGTATACATCACAAAAAATCCCATAATATATCATAATATCATTATTGATGGAGTAATATGGAGTATAATATTAGGTCCAGCAATCATATTATTGGTTCTGACTTTCCCGCACTGGCATGGATGCGCTTGGATGACAATTCCCCTTTGGAGATCTGCAGAACAAAATACTTGAGAAATACCATGGTAGACGGTCATCAAGGCCCCTGGCTTAGACATGAACAGCGCCTCGGCATTTCCTCCTTGATTTGGGATATTTTGGGAGAGACATTCCTGGCCATTTTTTTTAATGTTGGTAAAACAATAATAAACCATATCCAAATTCACAATTGTTGGCCAAATTCCTGGCCATTCCACCAAGTCTGAAACTTGGTCCAGGTCCTGAACAGGAGGTGCACGAAGCAACCGTCAAAGTCTCCTGTCAGAAATCCCTGCCTCCCTACATGCAGCGACCTGGCGCAATGAGACATTTGGGGTGTGGAGATTCAGAACCAACGAAGAAATGGGAGATTCTGAACGCCAACAAAAATGCTGGGGATCTACAATCTACACCCAACATGTGATGACTTCAAGGTCTTCAAGTTCGTTTAAGGTTTAATCGTGCCAAAGATTTCGAGTGCAATTGTCTAATTGTCAGCCCTGGGAGTTCGACAATTGAGAACTCAAATGTTTTGCCCACGCACTGCCCAAAGCCAGTGAATCGACGTTTTTTTTTTGTTCTGGGGTTATCTAAAATCTAAATCCCAAACTGTTTGTTGCTTAATTTCATCAAACAAATCATCCATGTTTCATCCATTTATAGATGATTTTCTCACGGCCTCCTTGTTTGGGGGATTTCGCAGCCCAGGCCGCAAGTGATTGTCCGCTTAGAGAGACTGCCGCGCAACAGCAACGGCAAAATTGATAGATCAAAGTCCCTTGGTGGGTGAAAACCACATTTGCTCGACCCATACCCGCCATATCCCGCCATACCCCATATCTGGGAATATCTGAGAAATCTTTGGTAAATATTTGACATTTTCTGAGAAACTACAGATTGAAATCCAAGGGGTTTGCACTGGCCCAAGTTTGGAGACATCCCGGATGGGATGATCAAGCTGCATGGCCAACATTGGCCAAATAAAAGATCTATAAGCTTCAACTTTATGCTCATTCTTGGGACATCGTCATAGTGCCAAAGTTCATGGTGATACCGATTTCTGGGTTAACCTTGGATTGATACCACTCAGTACTTTAGTCATTCTTGTATAGTATAGTTCTGTGCCATAAATGGGGAATATTCATGAATATTCTATACATAGAGAATGTAAAATAATCAAACATCATAGGATTGATTATATACA